GTGATCAGAAGACAAACACCCATGGGCCTCGATGCATCCAAGTCATGTGTGCTTTCCCAATTGCTTCCCTATCACCAATAAAGCCACTTATTCCCTGCCCCCACCTTGTGGGGTTAGCTCAAAATCTGAGGGTGTATGCAGCTCCAATTTGTATCCTACTGTTAGGATACATGGAACTAAATTAATCTGTGGACCATAGTAAATATTTTGGGGTGGTAAGCAAATGCAAACTTAAAATTTACTGAAATAGCAATGGTGGAAAAAAGGACAATTTCCATGACTTATATGAATTAGCATGGACTATTAAAAGGGAACATCAAAAACATAAGAACATGCAAACCACATTTTTTCCAGTTTGAAATGCATTGGCTGTGTAATGTAGGTACTCATATTTTGGTTAGATGCCAAAGTTATATTGGTTCCCCCCCCCCATCTTGTGTGCATCTATTCAGAAATAAGGCACATTGGCTTTTATTTAGCAGTTAACTATCAATACAAACAGTCATGTTAAGTCCATAGCCATCTGCTTCCAGTCTTGGTTTTGCAGTCTGTCTGCTGCCATTCGACAGGAATAATCACAATTAGTTTAGACATTTTTCCCAGTGTTTTCTAGATGTGACAAGCCCAAAATATGCATTTCTGAATACCAACATTGAGGCTGGACTGCTACACACACTCACCTTAGAGTAGGCCCCATTGAGCTTAAGTCTTTGAACAGACATGTTACATTCCTCATGGAAAATGTGCATACACAATAGTGCTTTCAGTATGATTTATAGGGGAAATACTGCCATCTTGTGGTCAAAATTGAAATAATGTGCACTGGTTTCAGTGAAAAAAGTTCAGTTTGGGTTCAGGCTCAGCTCAAAGGCTGGCCAATCCAGTCACTAGTCTGGAGAGGCCATTTTGTTGATGAGTCTGGCCTTGATATATGAGGTTCAACAAAGAACTTCCACTCCTCCTTTTCCTTTATTTGTTAACTCATATTAAGGGATGCAGGTGGCGCACTGGTTTAAATGGCTGAGCTGCTGGGCTGGTTGATTGAAAGGTTTGAATCTGCACAATGGGGTGAGTTCCCGTTGCTCCGTCCCAGCTCCTGCCAACCTTGCAGTTCAAAAGCATGCAAATGCAAGTAGATAAAAAGGTACCACTTTGGTGGGCAGGTAACAGCATTCTGTGCACTTCGGTGTTTAGTCATTCTGGCCACATGCCTACGGAAACTGTCTGCAGACAAATACTGGCTCCCTCAGCTAGGAAATGGAGATGAGCACTGCCCCCTAGTGTCAGGCATGACTGGACCTAACGTCAAGGGGAAACCTTTACCTTTATTACACTTAAGTATACTTACTTCCTCAAGTAAGTTAGATAAACCAATGAAAAAACTATGAAGAAAATCATGTGGCATCTTTAGGATGGATGCATTTATTGTGGGGACACCTTTCATGGATTATTTTTGTATTGATGTGAAGAAAAGATTTTGTCAGTTTGGCTTAGGACACGCTGGGGCCATGTTGCCTCAGGCTGAAAGCAGATAACCATGGGGAAACCAACTTTTTATTTTTACATGAAAATGGGTAAACTCTTCTATATGAATGAAGACTGAGAAATTTCAGACAAATAGGTATGAACGGAGATGCTGTGCAAGCATCACTTAAAGGTTGCTCATTTTAAAAAGGGAACTGTCTATAAGCTGTTTGGAAACTTCAGCTTAAGGAAAATGCTGTGAGGCAAACAAAATAACAGGGATTTTAATTGAGTTACACTGTTTGCCAGTTTGTTGCTAGGGTCATTCGAGCTATTGGGTTTAATCCTAAACCTAAACTTCGTTGCAATGATGCACTCAACATGATGGCCTTGTTTTACGTCTCACAGCAGGCTACTACCAGCAGCAGAACCTGTTCTGGAGTGCCATCCATCCTATGAAAAGGTCAGCAACAAATGCAAGAAGTACAGCTCTAGGGCTGCACGCAGGTCCCCTAAAGCTGTGTGTGCTTGTAAGTGTGCAAATGCTGCCCCCAGCACTGATGCTGTGCAGTGTGGCCCTCAGAGCTCAAACAGTTGTGCACTCTTCCCTATGGGATTGAGGTATGTCAGACCTCAGCCCGCTATGCTTTAGGTAGCTGATGGGCCCTGGTTGGGTGTCTTTTACTCTTCCATGCCGATGCACCTTGTTTTGCGAATTGTTGCTGTCTTATCAATTATTTTTCTCCTTTGGATTTAACTGGCTCTATATGTTGTAACTGTAAAATCTGTTTCCTAATGTGATCGGAAAAGCAATATTTAAAACAAATGATTTCCCCTCCCCTGTAGAATTAGCATTCTTGAAATCTGCAGTCTTCTCATTATCAGCCTTGTCAACAGTAGGCATCAGTTTCTTCTTAAGGGTACCTTAACCCTGAGCACAAACATCAGTGTTCATTTATCTGTGGGAAGTGATTAAGTTGCAATCCTTTGGCCTCCTGAAATTGTCGAGAAGCAGTGGGGATAAGTTTATTCCAGATCCCAGCTCACAGATCCTGAGCTGTCAGAGCTGGCACTCTGAACGCCAAGCTCCTCAGCTCACAGCCAGTGGAGAAAGAACCTCATTGAGTGCCTCTGCTGAGGTTAGACATGCACCTTGCAGGGGAGAGAATGGGGCCTACAGTGGAGTTGCAAGGAAGGGAAGCAGCTGTGGCTGATGACTTCCTATGATGCGCCTCCTTCTCCCTCTCTACTACCTTCTGTCTACATGGCTGAAAACCTGCACTGAGGGTGGGAGCTTTTAACTATTTTACAAGACATAGCTCATCTCTAAGATGTAAGTTGTATATTCCAGATTCAATTGGTCTGACAAATAAAACATCTTGCCAAGTCAGCTGCTAATTTAAATAATCTAACACTGATTTTTCCCTTTTAATATCCTAACTTCAATAAATCAGCAACTCAATTTACTGGTAGGTCATGACGAATCCTGGTGATTTGTAAGCATAAACTCTATTAAGTATTACGATAACTCTTCTTTTGTAGGCTTCTAAGATTGGCTAGACAACATCTGACTCTTATTTTCAGATCTTGGGCTGAGGGGCTAGGGGGCTGGGCTCAGAATTTCGTAACACATTCCAACCAAATAGCAAAATTGCTAGTCAAGCCACAAATGAAGCTGTCCAAACTGAGAACTTCTTTGAAAAAGTCCTCAGGAACCCGCACTGTTTTGGCTCCTGCTTACCACAATAGGCATCAGAATTAGGTACTGCAGGGCAAATGCCGTGGGCCACTTCCCAGCAGGGGGCTTCCTGGCCCTTTCATCCTTTTTTCTTGCATTTGCTACCTTCTGAATAAACATGCAGCACATTTGCAATTTAACTTTGCAACACTTCCATGTACTTATGAGCCTGTTGTTTTAAATTACACCAAAAGAAAGACAAAGAAGCCACAAAGTGTGAAATCTTACTGGAAGGAAATAGGACTGGAGCCTAGAATATGTAGCCAGGTGAATAAAGAACACTTCAATATTTGAAAACATTATAAAGGGACAGGAAGCAGTATATACTGTACTGAACAGGGGGACTTTCAAGGTAAGGTCAGGAATGCACCCTTTCCTTATACACAGTTTTCATATGTTGAATCACAATAACTTGTGGAATTAAATTGACTTTGTTTTCAGATTGTGCTTTATTCCCATTTTTAAAAAACAAAAAGAAAAACAGATATATTTTTTCAAACAGCACCATTTGATTTTCTAATGTTCTGCCACCAGAGTTAATAATGGCCAAGAGTGCACCTGAATAATTAAAAAAAAGTCTTGACAAAAGCACACAAGGCAGGAATAGTAATATCAGGCATGATGTCCAGTGCATTAATACTGATACATTAAAGATACAGTGGGTTAAGTCTAATTAAACTGAATGATAATTATTTTGGGGCACAGATGTGGGGCATAAAATGTCCCATTGGTTTCATTTTTAGTGGGAAAAAGCTTCCTAAGATTCTTACTAACAATGTATGGATGCCAATTGCAAATACAATATTTGATAAGTTTGGCGATTTCAAAGTAGTAATTGATGCATTTCAGATGTATATCCCTGGCAAGTCTGTGGGTGGATATATCCATGTCATTGAAATATTTCTCACTGGGAATGGAACTATCAAGTAGTTGCCATGAAACTGAAGGTGCCCCATTAACTTCAGTGGAAGAGAGTTGAATTCTTAGAAATAGATGGATGGATTACAGCACATAATGGCAGTTTCTTGGGTCAATCAGTCCTTGCACAAACAGGTTCCCTCCATGCAGAATGAAGGATCCTGGGAGTTACAGTCCTGGAGGACACGAGGTTGAAGAAATTTTAATTACTGTATCAACAGTATTCAGTACCTTCATGTTTTTTCTTATATTTAAGTAAGGGAAAGATATGTTATTATTTTTAATTTTTATAAATATTTCAGTAAAAATCTATATAATATAGCCTTATGACATATTGAGACAACAAGTTAACATGGGAAACTCTTTTAGCTTTGTTCTTTATTTTGCTCACTTTCTGTAAACAATATTAGATCACTCTTTCGTGATTTGCCAAGCTGAAAAATTTCCAATACAAATTGAACATTTTTCAATTTAAATTACACAATTATTTTCCTGAAAACCCACATCACTGCTTCTGAGAAGACATTTATTGGGTTCTGCTATAAAGCTGCAATCCTATGCCTGCAAGAAAACTGCATTTAACACAGTGGGATTTACATCTGAGTAAATATGCATAAGATTGCACTGCATGGCTTTAAAAAAAGAATATAGTGCAAATACCCTTTAGAAGTGATTTTTTGGAAGCACTGAGATTTCATTGTGAAAGATGAGGTCAACCTAGATAGTGACTTGATGTGCTTCATATAGTTGTTCCAGTGCTTTTTTTGTAAAAAAAGAAAAAAAAAAAAGGTGCCGGAACACCAATCCCAAGCTGAGCAGTGAGCAGCTCCCAAGCAGCTATCTCTCACTATCAGATAGCAGATAGCAGACACAATAGCAGCCTGCAGGCACTATGTTAATGATGTTTGCTGCTGATCTGCTAAAAAACGGTGCCAGAACGCTGTTCCGGTGCATTCTATGACAAAAAAAGCCCTGATCGTATAAAAGCAACAATTTTATTATAAAGGCAGAAGGGATTTTAACCTAAAGTTATTTATTGTGCATTATTAACTTTATTCTTTATTGTTTCTGGGATTTAGAGTAAGAGATCCTAAACTGTTGCTACAAGTTCTAGCTACCTATTACAGGAAGATCACTGAAGACACAGAAATGGAGGAGTATGTTTCTTTTTGTTTCACCCATTTGATTCCAACAGAATTTCTCATGTGTTCATGCATCTATTCTGGGCCTATTGAGAAGGTCTGGTATAGTATGTTAGAGTCTCCAGATTCTGAGGAGTGTTGCAAAGGTGCACCAGTTTTTTAGCACTGGTGTCCCAGAACTTCATTAGACAATCAACAGCAAGCACAACTATAAAGGATATTAAAAAAGAGAGTTAGGAAACAAAATATACTTTTAAAAATAATTAAAATGGAATTGGGATATCAGTGATGAGGCATTTGTGAGGTTGAACAATAGCCCTGGACATGGCCACAAGCTCCTAGCTACAACATGTATCACGTCCCAAGTATATTTATTAGGCTGAACATGGTGAAAGCCATTGAAAGCAGAACACCAGTATTATGGTTTGTAGCCTTCTATATTTCATGATTTCCCTCTTTTTTGAAAGCAGTAGGTGGAGCCACAGATGAAAATCTTCTAATGCATTCATTCTTCATTCTGCCTTTCAAAATTCTGTCCCTCACCACTGCAAAATTGTCATCAGAACTTTGAGAAAACTCTTGTTTTCATAGAGATTTGTTAGATTGGACAAATGAAGCAGAAATGATGACAGTGAAATACTCCTTGGCAAGACTTCTAGAGGCTGTATAGCCAGCTCATTTTGGTAATTTTCAAATACCTGAAAATGAACAGAAATAATATTAAGGAAAATGAAAAGTTTTACTCTCATATTTAGATTTCTGGAACTGTGTTAGGATAGTCTGTAGCATGACCTGAATGATGAATTAGTGAAATAGGGGCCACCATCCAAGGTGATAGGTTTTGCTTGTGTTTTTTATATAAGCATTATATAAGGATCAAGCAGAAATGTTTATTTGTAGTGATAACCACATGGTGATTCTATATAACTAGGATGATGTACAGAGATTGTATGGGATGATCACAACATGGGAAAGGTCGGCCTCTTGACAAAGGAAAACTGGGATGTTTATAACTATCCAGGCAGGACATGGGAAATAGCTATGCTCATTGGGCCTTTTGGGTCTTTCTCCTGTCTCCAAACAGCAGGTCTTTTACAGACATTTGTTGGCCTTCTTTCATACCTGATGACACTGACAACTTTTGGTTCAGTGGGCCTAGACATCCAGTGTTGTCAGCCTGTAAACAGTGACCTATTGGGATTTGCCTTGATATTCTGAATGGTCAGCCGGGTTATGACTTCTGTGCCCTCTGGATCCCTGTGGTCAGGATGCAGATGGCTGCACAACCAGCAGATTTGTCTACCTTGTTGTGATGGTGGGCATAGGACACTGCCAGAAGTCTATCTCGCCTTAGTTTGTATTTAAATGATTCTAAGATGGGCCAGGGAATCAGTGTGAATTTGGGCAGGGGGAGGGATAAGTGGTCTATATCTACATGGATCCCAGAATGGAGGTGCAGTGCAAATGTAGTGGGTTCCACTCTTGTCAAAATTACCACTGTTAAATTATGCCTGGAGTTCCCGGGGTGGGTGGGTGGCCCCGAGCTTGGCTTGGGGGTTAGAAAGTTCATGTGCACATACACCCCCCGCCCAGGGATTCTGGTATAGATTGCTGGAGAAGGGAATGAAGAATCTTTTCCACATTCTACCCCAACAATTGTGATTCATACTGCTCTTTCCTCCTTGTTGGGGTACCAGCTGGGAAATAACCATTTGTATCAGGTTTGCTGGGGAAAGGAATCTGGTAGCAGGCGAGGGGCTCAGGGAACCCAGAGGGATCTGCAGTGAAAACCTTTGAGGACCAGTTGTGCATCCTTACTGTACCCCCTCCCCCTTGAGGAACCATGTAGCCCCTGTTGGGTTCTGAATCAATTGTCCAATTACCTGTGCTCATTATTATTCGTATGACTTGAGGGTCCTGATCCAGTCTATGCTGAGCACAGAAAGCTCTTTACGCAAAGAATGGGGGCTGACGGGAGGGAAGTCAACAGCAGGAAAATCCCACGTGTGGAGGGGAGAAAGCAGCAAGTGGCAGAATAATGCCATTTGATATTTTTAATTGTATTTTCCACAAGGTATCCTGTTATGGAATTCTACTTACGAAAGTCTGTTATGCATTGCTGACGACATGTCCAGGGGGGCTAGAATCACTTAGTAGGTACTCCATATTTACAGCCTCATCTCCTCTTGATACAGTCTTGCTTCCCTCTGGAGAACTAGTTATAAGGCAACAAAATAGAACCTGGGATCAGTGCATATACATGTGCTAGTGCAGTGCAGACGATGAACAGAATTGCTTTCAGGCAGTAGGTCTCCCTCCAGTATTGGACTAGAAGTTCTTCCTATTCCCCCATGCTTTTTTCATGTAGTGCACACAATCAGGTTTAAGTAAATGGGCAAGGTCAGAAGGTCAGAACTGCTACTGTTTCACAACAGCTGGAGTTTATCTCCAACTTTTGAGTAGTAATCATTGCTATTGTTCTGATGTTGCAGTCACCTCCGCTCTCATGCAGAGCTGGCAAGAAATGGAAATGTGGAAAAAGAGAATGGACACCCGACGTCCCAGCATGTGCAGATCAAATGAGAAGCCTCCAGGCAAGACGAGAAGCCATGACTAGTGCAATTGAGGCTGCTCTTCTGTGGACTTGCAAGCTTTCTCGCTTTAATGGGTTACTGCATCTTTGCAAACAGCATGACAGATAGTTATGTAACAGATTAAGATGTGCATGGCACAGGGACAAACCAAGATGGCAAACACCTGTGACCCTTCTCTGCATTGTGCAAGTTTAAAGAGCTGGATTAAGAAAGTAGCTTTCAAGCGCTGGATTACTTTTGGTAAGGTGCCATTCAAGCAACACATCCAAACAATGTGAAACCAAGTGAAACAAAGCATGTTATAGACCAAGTGGAAAGCACACTGGTGGCCCAGCATACAGACAGACAAAGATGCTGGTGATGGTAAATGCCCTGGTGAAGGCATGAATGAATGGAAGGAAAAGCCCCATTTCTGTCCCAGGCTTCACAATCCTTAGGCATAACAACCCCAGTTTACACTGAATTTGATTTCTTCTTAAGGCCGGCGGCCATGGAATGTTTAAAAAGGCAATGCATTTTATGGTTATTTTGTTTCTTTAAGCATCGTTTTCATAAATTAGCTCTAGTAATCAAGGGTGGGGTAAATTAGATGTAATCAAGGGTGGGGTAAGGTGAGGAAAACAACTTTCCCCTTATTAGGTGCCCTTTACAGATCTATATTAGTATTGAAGAAAAGCACTGGAGTAGAAGCAAGCCATAAAGGAACGTTAGCTGTGTATGCATGGCCATTGCCATGCGAACTTTTGGACCTGCAGCTGTAGTGGGAAGAGGCGATGTTGTCCACTGCACCCCCATTTCCAGGTGAAGATTGGCTCCCTCCCTCCAGAGGAAGCTGATGGGGGATTGTCATCAGCATGCTGCTCCGTGATTGCTGGGAACTGGCAGTGCTGCCACGAATGTGGTTGGCAGGGCTCTGCTATTTTTATAGCATTTCTGTCTCCACCTTGGCTTGTGTGTTGGGACTACACAGCATCCCAGCTGAGCCACACTGTTTTCATGCTGGAGTAAGCGGCTGGGTTGCTAAGAGTGTACTGTTGCTTGTAATGCTGTTAATTAGGCCGCTGCCTATGTCTCAGAGGCATTCTTCCAACGTGATGAAAGATTTATTCCTCTTAGATTAGCGTTTGCAAGACAAATGATGCCTTAGCTGATTCATACATCAAGTCCAAATATCTTTGCTTGAAGATAGCCTAGTATGGCCCAGCTTCTCATAAAGCCGCAGTTCGCGTGTGTGCATGTACCTGTAAAAATCCCAACCCAACAATATTGCCTTCATGTATTTGTTCACTTGCAGCAGGCCTTCATTTTCTGGAAATACTTTCTGGAAAAAACTCACATGGGTATTTGATACTGTGGGACATACATAGGCATCCGGGTGTTGATTTCTGCACATCTCGTCTTAAGATGTACTTCTGGATAGTTGTTGACGTTAGCTGTCAAGATAAATGGTACTACTCTGGTAAATGATATCCCAAACTAGAACTACACTGTCCACAAGTGAACTGCTCACTCTTGACTATGATTGAAAGGACAGGTCATCTTTCATTCTTTTACCTAAAGCCCCTTCCTTAGCCCATGTCTAAATATAAACGGTTGTTATACTGGTAGAACCAGCCTAGTACTGTGTACTCCAAAGGCAGTGATTCTCCAGTTTCTCAAACACTGGTCTTTCTCAGCCTTTGCCAACTGAGATTATTTAAATTAAGGTGTCAAATGTTAAATTTGGAAGTTTGTATCACTAACAACATCTACCTTTATATGATTAAATGCCATTGGAAATCAAAATGAAATACATCAAACTGTGGGGATTCACACACCTACTTTTTATTTGGCCTGTAAGATACTCACAGTCCTGGACATGCAGAAGGCTCCGTAATTTACCAGTAGTGCGATTTCATGATAGTATAACAAATGTTATCAAAGCATAGTAACCATAATCTCTAGGCTTGTGGCACTGAAATTAACTAGTCCAGACATTCAAAAAAAGGCTTTAAATTATAAGGAAGGGCTCATTCAATGTATATTTCAGGAACAGCATGACTCAGATTTCATTGGAACTGAAATACTATTAGCAAATATTAATTAATTAAATATTATTCAAATATTATTTAAAATCTTAAATAATAAATGCTGTCACTGTGAAATTTTCAAATTAGCTCCTAGATCACAAGGCCAGGTATATTTGCCAACTTACCCTTGAGGAGATGTACAAACGGTTTCAAAAAATTCACGGCATAGCCAAGCTCGGCCTTGTGATTTCGGCCAAGCTGTAACAAGTGCTGCTCCAGGGGGAAGCTCGCCAGTTGCTCAAGTTCTGTGTGATCATACTCACGCCCCAAGGAGAGCACGAAGAAAGCATAGCCCTGGCACTTGGCTCTCAGGGATGCGTCGCTCAGCACCCCCTTGTCCCACTGACTCGTTCTTCCAGCAGATATAACAAAAATAGCCTTCGATTTCCTCTGGTTGCGTGCTACTGAAAATACGTTGCTGATTGTCCACTGTATGGCATGGCCAATGGCGGCTGATCCATTCAGCGGCTGGAGAGACTCCTGGATGTGCCTCTTCATTCGTCCTTTACTTCTAAAAGCCACAAAGTCAAATTCAATTTTAGCTGGATGCATGTGGGTCTGAGGTCTGAAATTTAGTGGAGTGTGGCTCACCACAGCCACCCTGTCACCTTCCAAAGAGGTGTCTGGTTTAGCAGAAATGTCAAAGTTGTCTATCGCTGCACCTAGGAAACCTTTCAGCTGCTTAAATTCAGCAGGGCTTATTCTCCGTGAGCTTTCTAAAATGAAAGCGGCATCCATGTAGGGCTGAGGTGGGGAGGTTTCATGACGGAAGCAAGATTCATCTGGGTCGCATTTGTCTGAAAATGGATGCAAAGTCATTGTAATGGCACAACACAAAGAGCAGCTATGACTGAAGAGCTGATTCTCATGTTTCTTTCAGATACTCTTACCATAGCAAAGTACACAAGACTGCATTCTTTCCAAGGCTGGACCATAATCTCTCTCCTGTTGAAGATTAATAACTTGAAACAGTCTTGTGGTATCCATCTAAAAGAAGAAAATGTGTGGCCGTGTTAAAAAAAATAACTGAGCAGACAAATTGTAAGATTTATAGTTTCATTTGTATCTTTTGTGAGTCCAGTGTGGAAATTTTGAGTAGTAGTAACTTCTAGGAATTGATGCTCATTTTGCAGATTTTGTGCAATCACATTCTCTTAGTCTTTTAGAACCTTATACAATAGAGCCCAATGAAGTTTAGAGCCAGTCCATACCATTGGCATCATAACAGTTGATTTCCTAAGTGCCAAACATCTAGTCATTTTTAACTGGAGACAGCCATTTTTCTCTGAATTTTGGGTTAGAACCTCATATTCTGATTTGGGACCAAGTTTAAACTAATTGGTTTGAAGGTTCCAATGAAGCTAACTAGAATTTACAAAGAAATTTGGCAGATGCAATCCTGCTGCTGTCCAGCGTACATGAGATGCATAATGCTGAGGTATCGGGGCACCAAAGCCTGTTGGGGAAAAGCCTAACATGTTTATCCAATCCAGGCCCTGAATGTAAGCAAGGAAAGGAAAGCCCATCGCCACCAGCTGCAGCATTCAGCAGCTCAACCCCTTGTACAGGATCCTATTTTACCTAAAATATGGAGGACCTGTAAGTTCCAACATAAAGGAGATATGTGTCAGCGTGAGAGAAATGGAAGAAGTAAAAATGACCTCAATTACTGACCAGAGGGACACATGATGTAAGAAAAGGGGCATTTTGTAGGTCAGCATGTTTAGTTGACGGTAATAAACGTACCCATGATAATGTCCCTATTCAGCACCATCCCAGTCAGGCTTCCCACCCCAGGTCTCCAGTCTGTGCTCATTTGCTGAATGTTGGTCAAGGTTGCCGGTGTGGCAGTGCCCCACTGGCAGCAGCACCTCAGGCCTGTCTGCACTTGGGTGGGTTGTCTCCAAATTTGCTAAATTCTGGTTTCATTAAATGATCTACTCAGTTATACTAAACAATTCTGTAAAATCTAATTGATATTGCAAACATTCTAACAAGCTCAATGAGACAATTCAGAATATGAAAAAAATGACGGTTTCTCACCGCAAAAGCACGGTTGACATGAGGGGTGTTCCTAAAAGCGACGACCACTGGATGGATATCTAAGGCACTGAACTCCAGGACCGCTGTGTCAATAGAACTTGGATCGTCAGATTGGCCATTGCTGAAAAACACAGCAACCCTTCTCACATTAGCACCTGACATAGTTCTCTTGAAGACATTCCTGGCAACAAACCTCATAGACCCACCAAGGTCTCTTCCACTTGTAGATCTCTGGTAGGAAAGAGTATTGATCTCCTGGATCAACTGGTTTTTGCTCTGGAAATCTAAGAAGCGGATCAGATAGTGGGTATTGGAGTTGTAGGACACCACGGCCACTCTGGCTCCCACTGGGCAATTGCTCTCTCTGATTCTGGTATTGTTCACAATGGCTATGATGATCTCTCTCATTTGTTCAAATGACTGGGGTGTAGTATCTTGAGATAAGTCCAAGGCAAACACTAATTCGGTGGGATATACAGGGCACTGAGTTCTTCCTAAAATATAAGACAGGGCAATGTTATCATTCAAAAATAATTATGTAATGACAATTTTTTAAAAAACATTTTATACATTTATGTCACCAGCCAGGCAAATATAAGACTTGTAACCACTATGTATTTAAATTGGAGATATTTAGGCTGCAATTCTGTAACCAGCAACCTTCAGTAAACACTGGGAATTCAATGGCAGTTACTTCTAAGGAATCATGTATAGGAGGTTAAGCATCCATTAACATGCTTAAAGCATCCATATTCTCTCATTAAAATCTGTGGGAAATTTAAAAATTGCTTAATTTAGATTGGATCTTACCCATTTTTAAACAAGTCAAACAGGTTAATTCTGGTGCTACAAATAGAATATTATCAAGTTTAACAATATTCTTTCCCCAAAAAAGTACTATTATTTTGGATTTGATTATCCTAAATTATTTAGAAGGGACATAGAAAGCTGCCTCATAGTGAACAAGGCAATTTGCCCATTTAGTCCAATACAGTCTACACTGAATGGCAGCATAGCTCTCCAGGGTTTCAGACAAGCGTATTTCTCATCCTGCCCTGAATATTCTGGGTATTGAATGAAGGATCTTCTACATGCAAAGCAAGTAAACTACCACTGAGGAGGCTCTGGATATAAATAGAAAATGGTGGTCAGAAACTTTGTTTATTTTTAAAATCTTTTGGAAAACAATATCCCCATTCCTGTTGAAATAGCTCCCTTAGTTCCTTCTTCTAGAAGACTTTGGAGGAGCATGAACTGGCCAAAACTGGGAAAGGCAGGGGCAGGGCTTGTCAAGTGCCTTAATTTATCATGGTTATAACAGGAAACCATTTTAGTGAGGGGACTGCTGTTGACACTTGCTCTGATGCCACAATGGCAACCAGCAACTCCTACTTTGAAATGGGGAATGATTACTGGGATCTTGTTTGCTTGTTTTCAAATTTGTCTGCACATCTTGGGATCACCACCCAACTCTAAGGATCCCCTCTACCAGCATTGTCCTTTCCGTTTCTTCAGTATCCAACATGTCTTCATGCAAAAGGACACCCATTTTGGAAATAGTGATCTGTCAAGTCTGGCATGATTCATGAGATCTTCGCCAAATTTCAGTTGTAATCATTCCATTTCCTTACAATATGACACCCCCTGTAATGGGTTGTAATCAAATCTATAGGAAATATGTATGGAACCCAGTGGCTTATTTGTCCCGAAGAGCAGGGCTGAACTTATTGTATGAGCTGAACTTATTTTATGATGACCACATTGTTGGGATGGGAAAGAAGCAGGCCTGTAGAAATTCTGCTTTGCTATCCAGTTGAGATGTAGTTTTAGATTACATCTTATGTAAAAATGTAATTGCATTCATCTACTGACATTGGTATATCACCTGCACCTAACATCTTCCCTAAGGTTTGGAGAAGCTAATGAAATGTTGTAAATTAAAACTAGAGAAATACTCACCTATCCAGCAAGCTAAATGAAAAGGGGAAGAAAAGGACATATAATTCCAGACTATATTATATTATATATGTATTTCTTGAAAAACTCTAAAACAGCAAAGTACTTTTCTTAAAGGCATTAATGGTCAAAATATAGAAGATAGCCTCTATATGGTATGTTGTTTATTACCATGCAGTATGAAGTTGAACTAGTTCTTAATTTTGAACTGTGAGTAATGAATACATAATAGAAATATGCAGTAGAAGTTATTGTGCAGGAGAAACAGTTGATAATACTTTTACCAGAACAATTAATATGGGGGTTTTAATAAATAATGTAAGCTATCAGACATTTGACATCCCTCCCGCTACACACAAACCTACAAAAATTAGATAACTATCCTGTGCAAAACATGCACAAAATAAAAAAAAATCTTTGAGGAAGGGACAATCTCCAAATTTTGCTACAAAACTATTTATTAATATTTATTGGTGCTGCCAACTGTCTGAAATAATCTTTAGTTGCACAATCAAGTGTTGAGTGACAAGAGTATCAATTGATAAAATGTAAATATATTTAAATATCGCCAAAACCTAATATAAGTGCCTTTCTGAGATTCTGGAATTACAATGATAACCTATAATCCAATGAACAAAGCTTCCAGACATGGTTAAAATGAAAGATCACTTTATATCCTACTACAGTAGTACCCCAGAACCAAAAAGAATCACAAATACAAACAAATGTGCTTTCAGTACTAATTTGATTTAGCTCCCTACTAAATTAATTGAATCTTCTGTTGAATAATGGTGTGATTCTGTCCTTAATTTATATGTGCTGGCAGGATAGGATTGCTCCATCACACTTGTGCACAGGGAAGAATTTGCATTGGTTTCATGGCTTAGGATGGTTCAGTTTCTAGGGATGCTGTGGAAATGTGTGGTGTAGGTGTTTCTACAACTTGCTTTGCTGCTGTGAGCTGATGGGGTTCAAATGGTATTATTACAGTGTTAGACAAAGAATCATCTACCGATGGAACTAATTCAGGTTTGTAACTCCACCTTTCCTTGTTCCTGCAGCTCCAATGGCCAGAAGGTTAACCTGTTCCCATACAGGACATTTTCCCACCTTCCTTGATTGTATTTCAACTCATTAGCTTTGGCTTTTCAGAATCACAGAATCAAAACTAGGTACTTACGGCTTTGTTCACGCACATATTTAATGACATCACAGGGCTGGAGAAAATAATGCAAAGTGGAAAAAATGTTATTTTTTTAGCAAATAAAGTGATCTATTTTTGAACAGACATTAGCAACAGTCTTAATGAGAGCCAGCATGGTGCAATGGTACAGGAATGCTGAGGTAGGAGAGGTGAAACCCACCTTCAGCAAGGAAATTCATTCAGTAACCCCGAGGTCAGCTACCATCACTCAGGCTCTTCTACCACTCATGACAGTCGAGATTAAAAAGGGGAAGAATCATATATGTCACTCGGAGCTCCTCAAAGGAACTGTGAGATGTGCCATAAATAACGTATAGCAGGTATACATACCTCAAAAAATGGAAGTCCCTTTGCTCCTTTTGATCCCTAGAGGAATGAGACTGGAGTTAGAGAAAATGATGGGTCTGGCTGGTTTGAAAATCTCACAACAGACCAACAGGATTATGGTTGGCTGAGGTGCCATCAAAGAGGTTAGAATACAAATAAGGAATCATCATTTTCCGATCTTACCAATGGCAAAGAGCTCAGGAATTTGCATACTCCAAGACACACTTATCTTCTTCTCTAACCTACGCAAATTCTGCGCCCCACTATTTTCCTCAGGATTCTCAATGGTGTAGCTGTATGCCTGCACTCAATTTAATACTAAGCATGTTTAGTGTCAGTGAGACATCTATTAAGTGAACCAGCTTCAAACCCCAAATTAAAATAGAGCCGTCACACTGGATTGACCGACTGAATGACGGATTGATGTAAAAACCATGTGATTTATTTTCTAAAGCCTCCAATTAATTGGCAAGCAAATAGTTTTGAGCTAACTATAATTAACATTAACTTCAGTGAAGGTATAATGATACACCATACATAATGCCAAAAATGGAAGGTGGGAGAATTCCTGTAGGAGAGAAGAATGAAGGGCAATGGAGTAGCTGAACCTGTGGAGTGCTCCCAATCACTTAGCCATGGTTAAAAAAATCAGAAAACCACAATGTGTCAGTGTGTTTTTAAGTAGGTGAGATGTTTCATATCTCACAAACAGTGACGTAAAAAAGTGGTTCCCAGCCAGACATAACCTGGAGTCAGTCACCTTGGTTCATTCAGTGAAGTAGGATTCACAGCATAGATTGCCATATGGCACACATTCCACTTATATAAAACAAATGCACATCCCCATGAAAGGAATCCCTAAATGATGGACAGCATAGCCTGAGGATATATGGATAACTGGCAATATCTTCTGAAGCTTCATCCACAAACCAATTAACCAGAGTACATGTTTGCACATTTTACAAAAAAACAAAACACCAAAGAATCTACACTACAGTCTTAAGGTACATTTCATTCTTCTGTGCAACTCGGATTTATTTCATACAGCCTGCACAAAAGCATGTTTTAATGGATTGTAATCTTAATCTGGTTTGATATGGACTTAACAATCATTTCTTACCTAATGGCAAAATGGATAGTGGTGTTATATTTTATTTAAACATTTTAATGCAATCTTTCAGCAAAGGCTTCTAACAATACAAAATGTAAAATTCAGCAATTAGAACTTAATTCATGAATATGAAAAACCAAGCAACAAAGATGAAAACAACGCTATGGAAGAGCATGAATAAGGTCAACCATCCATTTAAAGCTGAAGGAAATGAAATTGCCTTTACCTGGCACTGGAAAACTTGTTCAGTCAGTGCCATCTGAATCTCTTTGAAGGTAAACTGGACCAGCTATTACCTTCCTTTACTATACTATAGGGCTTCACCCACCGTGAATGTTGGGGGAAGTATTTAGCAAGATTTTTTTGGAGTGCCCTTATCTCTGAAGCTGAGGTACAGAGAGCCAGCTGATTTTTGCCCCTCCTGCTCACCTGAGAGAGCAGCTTCTCTCTGGCAAGCTAGGGGGGCAGCAGACAGGGAGTTCCCTGGGATGCACAGCCCGTGACTGGACTTGCCACCACAAAGCAGTTTCTTGCCCCCAGCTCGCATGGAGGGGAGGTTTCAGGGGAACCAGCTGGGCAGTGCTGCTCTTTTCCGGTGCCAGCCCGCGGACCTCCCACTACTGCCCTAAAGAAGGAGAAGTGTGACTCTGGCAGTAACATAAAGAAGCAGCTGTCAATGGTACTGTCTTGGCAAGAACATTAATGGGCTTTGGTTCAGGGTTTGGCACCACAATGGTTCAGACAACACAAGAAGTCATCATGGTACGGAGGAACCATAGAACAAACCATTGTTTCTGTTCATGATTTCTAAAAACCAAACAAGCCATGCTGAAATAACACGATGGGGTTCAGATGGCATGGTGGACATGCCATGGCAGGCATTGTGCAACCCCCCCCCCCCCCGTTGCTTGTAGTGCTGTGTGAACACAGCCAATTACTTGTCCTGGCAGCAATCCTGGAATGGAATGCCCCAGTAGGAACTACAGTGTATCATGACAGAGCATAATTCTCCAGAGCATTCCTGGGAAAAACAGTGCCTATGTTCACTGGCCATCTCTTGTATACATACTGCGGGAGCCCTGTCCCCCTTTGCACCTGAACCCCTTAAGCATGAATGATTGCAGGAATGACTCCATCTTGGCTGCAGATCGGAACATGATTTGACTAACAGTACAGACAACTTTATTTATTTATTTATTTATTTATTTATTTATTTATTTATTATTTTTTGATTTATATCCTGCCTTTTTCCTACAAAGGGCTCAAGGCAGCTTACATCTCCTCCTCCATCTTATCCTCACAACAACAACCGTGTGAGGTAGATTGGGCTGAGAGTCTGTGACTGGCCCAAAGTCACCCAGTTGGCTCCATGGCTGAGCGGGGACTAGAACCCAGATCATCTGAGTCCCAGTCCCATGCTCTTAACCACTACACCACACTGGCTCTCAGAAACTTCATAGACTTTTTGTCCAGGAACAAAGATGACATTGGAAATCTAAGTTACTCTAGAAGTAGAATTAAAAAAAAAGATGTGATGAGATTGCTACATACTGGATATCCTGGATAGCCTCTTATTCCTGGATCACCTGTTTCACCCTTCAGTCCTGGAATGCCCTGGAAACAATAAATATCTTATGTGTTTCAATAACAAATACAAAAAACTATATTCATATATTCCCTAAAATCCATGGGGGACAAGCAGCCTCCCAGCATTAAAACAGCAGCCAATTAGTATGGCACAAGAAGAACTATGAAGAGGAAAATGTGAATAAGAAAAGTGTAAGAACAAGTACTGTTATACATCGAAAGAGAGAGAGTTTTCCAGTTCTTGTTTCTTGGTTTCAAGTTGCCAAACCTGAATGCTTTCTTTGGCCACAGTCAGCCCTTCACTACAGAACAGAACAGCACAGGATGGTTGGATGTCTGTGCACGTAGTAGAGAACTCTGCCATTTTTTGCATCGTGTGATTTTTCTGTTACAGCAATCTCAGCAAAAGCTGGAAACCTATAATCCCTATGCTTTGGCTGTCTACTCTGGTTTTAGATCTTCCTATTAGCCTTCACAGCCATTGAGATGATCTAAAATAAGCCCCTCCTGAGAGATTTCAGACCTGTGTTTGGACAAAGCATAACCTATACCATTGTGCCCCCAAGCTTATGGAACAGGCTTCTTGAAAATACCAGCCTTTATGCAACCCTCCCAATATTGAAGTGCAAGGCTTTTCCTCTTCAAGGTAATTTCTGCAGAATTTGTAACTTTATGTTCGGCCAAGCTGCTTATATTCTGAGTTCAATTGTTCTGTTCTTGCAATTGCCTCTTGATAGCTTTGTTATGCTTTATGTTGCAGTTTTAAAATATATGTAAAGTTTACTATGAGCCATCACATAAATCATAATTACAAATGTAATACTGGTTTTAAAAATCTAATTGCCAAAATGCCACATATTCTTTAGAAACAATTAAGGAGGGACTGAATAATTTAAGGCTTATTTCTATCTTCTCAGGAGGCAAAATATAAATATGATGCTACTGGAAGACCTGGTAATCACTAACCAAGCCAATAACACTAAAATAGTATCCATAGAAATTAGTGGTCACAATACCATTCTTCCTCGGCTCCCTTTTTGGCCAGGTTCCCCAGGAATACCTTTGTCTCCAGGTATACCCTGTTGAATTGATTATAAAGCATAGGTTTAAAAATGTAGCAAAGAAATAAATGTGAAGAATGCAAAAAGTAAACCACCCTGTTAATTCAACTTCCCATGATATGCCTAGTTACGGTGTTGTCATAAATAAGAGATGCACAAAAAGCTCCAATAAAGTTTTCAGTCATAAATTCAGAAAGATTGCAGCTGAATGACACAAAGAACACCAACCAACACGCATTGCTTGGCAATTTCTGCAGAGAACAGCAACACAACACTCATTGCAGCGTTTGCAAGTGTGAAGTTCTTAGGAGCTTGACTTTCAGGACATTAACAGAACAAGTAAAAGGGGAAAAATGCAGTCTGTCTTGAATTCTGGAAAGGCAAATGATCAAAGATGGCCAGTATCACCTTTCAAAAGTTCCTAAGGATTCCTCAGCTTCTTTGAGACTACAGCATAAGCAAGCTACATTTTAAACATGTTTGCCTACAGTCAGGAATCAAAATGACATTCTCTGAATGTTGATGCCTCTGAATGTTCATAAGCCATAAAAAATCACATAACTTGAGGCTGACAACCCATTCCAGAAGCTTCCCTTTCAACTAGCTCAATCTAGACTAGTCAGTCAGGCCAGTTGGACTGCTTCAGAGACTCCACTTTCCAATATGCCAATACGATTTTTCTTTAGGCACAAAGATGGATTTTGAAGCACTTCAAACACATTTAGAAATCATGTGGTAAACACAGAGATCGGAAACCAAAAATAGAGCAGCACAGCTTGAGCTCCAGTTTTAAACCCACTGAAAGCCACTGCTGAACGTTCTCCATGAGAACCCTGGCATTACTCTGCCTCTTTCTTTTCTATGGCAAAGCTATAAACTGAAAATTAGAGTGCACACAACTCATTCCATTTATTAACAGACATGCCCACAAGGACTACACTGAGAATTTATCCCTTCATGAGAGTTGACTTCATAGTGTATGCATGAGGGTACCTGAACTCCAAAGCTCCCTGGGAAACCTTCTTCTCCCTGTAATGTAATTAGATATGCCATAATTACACCCAAACACACTTCCTGTTATTTATTTGACAAGAAAAGTATACTTTAGGGTCACAGACGTGAGACATAAAATCTGGCATATGCAAAAATAAGCACTAAATATGGCAGACTGATTAATCACCCTAGTAAATAAAACCTTAGTAGGCTAACAAAAGTATAGCTGAAAAAGGGGGCTGAGCAAGTGAGGGAGGTTAATTAGGAGCAGAAGCATTTTTCCTCCAGTCTGCTAATCTTGAACTTCAAAGGAGTATGCAGCCTACAAGAATTTATCACACCTAAGGGTATGCATAAATGAGGTTCAGAGATTGTGTGTGCCTAAGATATAGCAAGAGTTTGGAGCCTAGGAGGCATCTGCTCATTTTCACTTAAAACAAAATCAAGACAAGCCAGACAACTGTATTCAACATCCTGTGACTCCTGGGTAGGAGGAAAGGAGCGTAGTCTGTCCTCATTAGTATATTTCACTTCTCTTAAAATGTACATCTCCTTCATGGATTACTGCCTTGTCGTGGCGAAGGGGCTTGCATAGCTCAATGAAGCTATGAGTTATGCCGTGCAGGGCCACCCAAGATGGACAGGTCATAGCAGAGAGCTCTGACAAAACGTGATCCACTGGGGAAGGAAATGGCAACCCACTCCAGTATCTTCGCCATGAAAACCCCATGGACAGTACCACAAGGCAAAAAGATATGACGCCAGAAGATGAGCCCCTCAGGTCGGAAGGTGTCCCATATGCTACTGGGGAAGAGCGGAGGGCTAGTACTAGTAGCACCAGAAAGAATGAAGCGACTGGGTCAAAGCCGAAAGGACACTCAGTTGCCGATGTATCCGGTGGTGAAAGGAGAGTCCAATGCTGCAAAGATCTATACTCCATAGGAACCTGGAATGTAAGATCCATGATTCAAGGCAAGCTGGATGTGGTCAAACAAGAGACGACAAGAGTGAACATCGACATCTTAGGAATCAGTGAACTAAAATGGACAGGAATGGGGAAATTTAATTCAGATGACCATCAGGTATTCTACTGCGGGCAAGAATCCCTCAAAAGAAATGGAGTAGCCTTCATAGTCAATAAAAGAGTAGGAAAAGCAGTATTGGGATACAATCTCCAAAATGACAGAATGATCTCAGTTCGAATCCAAGGAAAACCATTCAACATCACAATAGTCCAAGTCTATGCCCCTACCACTGGTGCTGAAGAGGCTGAAGTTGACTGGTTCTACAAAGGCCTACACCTTCTAGAAATAACACCAAAAATGATGTCCTTATCATCCTGATTGATTACTCAGAGCTGGGGTTCTGGGGAATGGAAAAAGGAAATGAACAGAAAAGTAATTTCTGAGTAATTTGTAAGTGCCTGTTGGTACAAGTTTCTACATGAAATAAGGGAAGAGTGAAAATATTCTCCTGCATGCCTATTACAGAATGCATTTAAATTTTTAACACTCTGCTTCCTGAAGTCTATCACCTTCTTTTTCCTCTTTTTTGCTTAGATTCACAGAGAGACTGGGCCATGGAAATAATTTGCTATGGACCAACAGAGGGTAATATCTAGATGATTTATATCATATGAGCACAGGAATCCCTGCAGAACAAGTAGGAAGTGAAATATTATTCCATACATGTGGAGATCATTGCTGCAAGACAAACAAGTCTCATGCACAAATAACAAAAATCTGTGCAATGTGGAAACTGATGTTTGCTCTGCAGCAACTCCTGCTGGTAGGTAAGCAAGTCACAGTTTAGTTTCAAAAGCAGCACACTTTTTCACCACTTTCCTAGAGTGGCTCCAGGAAAAAAAGATCAGACACTCAATCAAAGCTTCAACTGCATTCCCTTTAAAGATCCTTTTTAGGATATAAGCCTTTAAGTCACATATTTATTTTGAAAATACTGGAACTAAGACTTGTACCCTTTGGGATTAGAATTGCTACATTATATCAAAATTTTACATAGGAATTCATACACAACACTTTTTTCTGCTTTTATACATCTTATACTTGCCTTTATTTTAGTAAGACTTAATAGACTGTAGATTTGCATGTCACTAACTAATTTGAAGTAAATTTTTAAATAGGATAAAAGTAAAACTGAATGTTCAGTCACAATTATTTTACATAATTACCTTTGATCCTTTAATTCCTGGTTTGCCATATCCAGGTGGTCCTTCTTCCCCCTAGAAGATATGAGCAATATCATTGAACTCACTGAATTTCAGTTATAGTTGTTTGGTTTATAGTGCCTTCTAGTTACACAGTAGACATGTATTGCAAATGGTTGTTTATACTTAAATAAACAATCTATAAAGCTATTTTTCTTCAGGACAGAAAAATCAGGCCCTCATTCATGTCTCCTTCCACTTTGCTGTCTGATGTTTCAAATCATTACTCTGGCTGTATTAAACAACTTCAGCTCCTTTTCCAGAGCTTCAGCAATGACCAGGATAATGGCAGAAGGAAGAAACAGGGCCATGCCTGTGTAAACCTAGTGAAGATCTTGCCATGCAATCACAGGTAGAAGGGCAAACTACTCAGTCAACCCAGCCAGGGGAGAGCCTGCAGAACTGGCACTGTCAATCAATTAACTGGCACTGCCCCTAATTTTACTAGCCCAAGCAGCAATTCCAGCAAGAGCATCCTCTTCGGCGTCAGTGTGTAGAAGAAGAGGTCTCATATGGACCTGGAGACTGAATTTTCAGGAGTTTCTGAATTCATTTCTCCTGCAGAAACTCTGTGCACCTTTTTTGTTTGTGTGTAGTATACTGTAGACAACTGGAGTTGTATTGTTTTTAATTACATGCCACAAATTGTTTTGTTTTATAGGTTTCTGCTTTTATGTGTATGTGTATTTGAATAATTTCTGTATTTTTTCTTGAAGCAACTTATGTTTTCAGAGCAATGCATTATAAAAATATTCAAAGGAAGCTGTGCTGGTATTAGCCAGCTGGCAGCATTAGAGTTGCAGAAATTATAAATGGCTTTTATTTGGGTAAAGCCTAGTTCACCCTAATGAAACTCCATGCCATGATGGGCACTGCAGCAGCTTGTTTGAAAGGGAATCTGGCATGCATACCAGTCGTAGCTAAGAGAGAGAAATGATGACAGAGAGGTTGTAAAGAAATTTTCTTGAGCAAAGAAAAAGAAACATGTTAAGGTTCCAAATGTCTGCAGTGGATTCCAAGTCTGCTCCAGAAATAATGGGGATTTGAGCAAAACAGAATCCACAAACAATACTGTTGCCCCCTTGGAGCATGCAAGTCCTTGCTTAATATGTTCCAAGGCCTCTGGCATGCCAAGACTTAGCAATTTTGCTGGTTTACTAGCTCAATATAAACCTCAGAATATACAAAGCAAGGGCTAGCATCTCCTGGGGACATCCTGGAGTTACTCTAGGCCTCACATTTCATGATGAAAATTATTAACATCACCAAACTTGGAGAGTGCTGATTGCAGAATAATTCCTGATGCTGCAATAAAACCCCTGTAACAGAGCAGAATGCCTTAATTCAAGGACTTCCACTCATGTCTAGGCAGATAATCAGCATAATTTTATTCCTTGAGGAGGAAGAGTCTGAAAGCAATTATGTATATATATAAATATTCTGTGATTTCTCACAAGCACATAAACAGGCAGACTTTGGTACCAAACATAGAATCCACCATGCTGAGAAGCTTTGTTTTCATTTTTTTAGTTTCTAGCTCACATGGCTGCAAAGATGCATGTACAAATGGGAGGTTACTTTCTGATAAGAATTCACTTACAATGCATTTCTGTGCTTGTGTATTAGCATGTGTGTATGCAGTACAGGTCACCAGATTCAGTTTCATGTGGAGCAGAATTTAGAGATATTTAAAGAATCCTTCAATGTATATACTGCCCTGACTATTGTGGCCCATTCACCACACCCTTTAAGTCTGGAGCAACTTCTGTTTTCAGTTAAAGCACCGTAACTGTAAGGTGAGTATAAATGACAAACCCTCATTCCTCGCTGGCCATGGGAACCCCTTTCTCCTTTTTCTCCATGATCCCCAGTTTCTCCCTGTGGATGAAAATGGGAATGATATTGTATGTGCAAAACAAATCAATATGCTAACATTGACAGTTGAGGATTTGATGAAGATACTTGGAGAAATAATAAATTCTCAAATAATGCATATGGCCATAATCCCAAAATATATACAAAGCATGTACTCTAACCATTCAAATAAAGTTAAGAGGTTATGGACAGAGCCTTCCCTGTAGTTATGATAATTTCGACCTTATAAATTGGTGTCCCAGAGTTACTGACTTTCATTTACTATTAAATACTTCTGCATACACTCTGAAATACTCGTATTTGCATGAACTACATAACCACTGCTATATAATATCTGCCTTATTTCTTGCTGTGAACATCCCTGGCTAATGTACCATTTTAACTGCTTTTTCTAAAAAGAAGAACATAGATTAGGGCTGGGATGGCCCATTCAGCTGCATTATGGGGAAACATCAACCACTGCCATTACCTTTGATGACAGGAAAAATTAAACCTGTTGATTTCTCCCTTAATTTCTGCAGGATTTGAAGGTCAAGAGTACAAAAACATAACAAAAATCAATAACCCTATTCCAAGATGTTTCCTTCAGGAGAAAAAAGAGGATTAGGGAGAATCCAACTTTCCCTTCATCATTCATAGGCAGTGAGCCCACTTATACTTTGTACAGTTATGAAAGTCTGAAAACATACCTTATTTCCTCTGAGTCCAGGCTTCCCTGGATTTCCTTTTGGTCCCACTACTCCAAAACCTCCCTGCAAGCAAAATAAATGACAATAGCTTATTACCAACAACATAGTCAAAGCTCTTCTGTCTTCTCTGGGCATTGTGTGGACATTTGCATTAGTGCTTATTGCTGCACTTCTCAGCCCACAGATCTCTTCCATGCATTATTAAGATAATACTTCCTGATCTGCAAGTTGAAACCCATAAGTGGGCTCTAACACATTTCTTATAGGCATACTATAAGTGCGGCTCTTTCTACCTGCAGAGAGGAGGCCCAGTCAGCCCAGGTTATAGACTTCCTGGATAGCTACTTCAGATGTGGATTCAGATGGAGGTGAGTGGGAATTATCGGAGGCTTTTGAATTGGCAAAGTCTCCATGTCAGATTACTAGAGAGCATGAGAACCGAAGGGGGTGAGGGGTCAACAATGACACTATAGAATGAGGGGTAAAGACTGAGGAGTTCTTACACTCGATCAGGGCAAGAGAGCAGACCACTGAAGCCTTGTCTACCATTCCTGCTAAGGTTGCGCTGATCCCTCCCTGGAATCCATCCCTCTTCTGTTTCTTGGACTTCTCATGCTTGGCCCTTGATCAGGAAGTGAGCTGAGCCAAGAAGGATGCTTATGGAAGTCTGGGTGTGCAACCTTCTTCTGCAGCACGAGGAAAGGCCACAAGAAGAGGAATGCCACTGGCACAACCTTCCTGCAGGCTTACTTCCTGCTGGGCACCTGTGTTAATGCTCAGTGCACTCACCCAGAAGTCAGACTCACAGCTATGGAAAAACAAGCTGGAATTCAAGGGGATCTGATGAATTCCCTCCCCCAACACAGATTCCTCACATATCCCTAGTCCCTGTCATCTAGCTGTCAAACAGCATGAGCCACCTGAGGAAGGGGGAAAGTCTTTTTTGAAAAAGAAGGAAGGAAAGGAATGTCCCAGCTTGGATTAAACTCTTCATATGAGCAGCCACTACCCCCCCCCCCCCCCGCCCACATATCAAAGGGATCATTACTTTGATTTATGCTGTTTGTAAAGATGCAGAGGTCAATGAAAGACTGAAATTTTAAGATTTTGTCTAAGTCTGCTAGAGAGGGAAAAGCAGACAGCAGGGGGTAAGGGGGAGACCTGCTTCCGCCACCATCCAGCACCTTTTCTGAGCCTTATTTCTCCTTTCATTTGCTGGGAAGTGTGCTATTGCTGCTGCATGAGCCCTTTAAGAGACAGGCTTGTTCCTTCCCTCTGAATACATAATGTTTAAATTCTGCTCAAATGCATGCTGTTGAGAAATGCCTATTAATATTGCAAATGTCAAATATGAACCTCTTTGATGTTAGCTACTGCTACGAAAAGAAAAGATAGAGCTCAAAACTCCAATAAGTGGGTTCCAGAAGGTTAAATAAATGAAAAGGTTAAATAAATTTACAGGTGGATTCCAGTCTGAAACATTTGAGAAGTGTTTTATTAAGATAATATGTATTGGAGATGTCAGCAGGAACTGTATGAGGTAATTTTACCTGACTTCCTTTATTTCCTGATTGTCCTTTCTCGCCTTTCACACCAGTAATTCCTGTTGTCCCCTGAAAAATACATTGCATCAAGCTAGCCTCATACATTCATATCAATCTGTAACTGAAGAGTTGTGTTACTTCATATTGTTAAAAGTTAATGTCCACAATAGAAAAAAAATGTGCATGTTGCATTGAGGGAAGGCTAAGTGAATGTTTTTTTATGTGTGTTAAGAATAGGCATGTTAATGTGTATATCAGATATAAACATGTCATTTCTGGAGTTTATACTTGGCATATTACTTACATGGCAACAGTCCTGAAGAATGAGGCTGCACTTAATTTTTTTTCAGTTAGGTTTTTCAAAATATGCTAACAGCAGCTGCAGACAAGCTGCTCCTTCAGCTCCCACAAGTGCAAAAAGCAATTAGTTGCTCTGGGTTGAGGAAATGTTAAAGACCCCATCTCCTATGTATTCAGTCTGTAATTGAATGTATAACCTGCGTTTCCACTCAAGATGGGTAAGCCCAGTAAAACAGAGGATTCGAAATTATAATGGAAACATCAAACAAACTCAATTAAGAACACACCAATTAGAATGAAATAACAGTATCTCCTGGTTAAAACCTATTTCTCCAAACTGATTTCTCAAGCTCATAGAAACAGCATAATGATATTGCAAGCTCTTAACTTCCCTAACAATATCATGCTATTTCTTTGCTATAACTTTTCTGCATAACTGTGTATTTCTCTGAGACCATACTCAAAATTTCAATATGGACTGAGGGTGAGTTGTTAAAACAGGGTTGTTTGAAACATGGGTTATTGTGATGTCTGAACCCAGTTAAGATAACAGAACATGGTGAATAACCCCAATTTCACAATCCAACAATAAACCATGAATTCTCTTTATGAGTTGTTCGTGGCTAACAAGTCATAGCTTACTAGCATAGCTGGGCTCAGATAACATAACAACAACAACCCACACTCAGTGTTGTCTGAACCCTGCCAATATTCTTAGTTTTGAGAAAAGTTTATTTAGCGGCAATTTGTGAGACCAAATTGGTAGATCCTTACCCGCTGCAGACACAATTCTCTATGCACACCTATAATTCTTATGACAAAGGAGATAACATACAAACTCACAGGTTACACATGTCACCCACAGCAACCTCTAAGATCTCATTACGTGCTACTTGATCTATTTACCTGTAAATGTCAAGGACTGAGTCTGAGACCATCTGCATGCAAACCATGTGATTTACATTGAATTACAGTCACTTCACACATATGTATGGACACACATATACACATGCACTGAATGATATTGATATCCACCTGTGGACCATGAAATCCTTGCTCTCCTTGCAAACCATTTGGACCAGGGATTCCATTCTGTCCCTGTATGAAGATACAATTCTTGTTGATAATTGTTTTCCCTTATGAATATCACAACCATTTTATTTTGATATTTATTTTATCAATAAATATTTATAAGTTCAATGCACCAAGTTTTAATACTCTCCTTTTAATTTCAGTTCATTTATTAATGATTGATTATATTGACCACTGTTGATTCCAGTCCAGGATTTAAACAGTGGCCAACAGAGCCCTGTTTTCTTCCCTCCCATTTAGGAAGCCAGTGTGGTGGGGTGATTAGATTGTTGGATTGGATGACTTTGGATCAGTCACAGACTCTTAGCACAACCTACCACACAGGGTCGTTCTGAGGATAAAAATGGAATGTAGGAAAACTGTAAGCTGCCTTGGGTTCCTCACAAGAGGAAAAAAGTTGGGATATAAATGATGAACCACCATGGGATGACGAACCACCATCATCATAAATGCACATCTTAATGCATGCATAAGCATGCGCAAGCATTGTGACCAGCCACTAGCATTCTACCTGTCTGTCTGCTGCAAGCAGATTGCTGTCTGTCTGCCTGTCTGTCTGCTGCAAGCAGATTGCTGTCTGTCTGCCTGTCTGTCTGCTGCAAGCAGATTGCTGGTCAGAGTATGAATAACTTTCACCGCATGAAGAGGGAAAGCTGGATGAAGAAATGAGAAGCATTCTCCTAGCACCCCATCATACTGCCTATGGATCCCTAGGAAGGAGACAGTCGCTCTTACAACATAGTGCCAGACTCATACAGTGGGGCCAGCAGAAGATGACTTCCGCTTTCTCTCCTCCCCGCGCCTGGGCAGCCTGCTACAGAGGCAAAGGAACCATTGCGAGCCACGGCAGATCCCTTTCACCAATGCCATTTTTTGGTGGCTGGGGAAGCCACTTTCCTCCAGGACCAATACAAAAGCTTTTGTCTGGAGGCAAACCATGGAAAAGTATTATCAGTCTCCTTTGAATTCTTTCTGTTTGCTTTTACCTAGCAGATTTACAGCAAGAACCACCCATCCAGCCCTCTCTGCATTTGCACAACCTGCCCCACACATAAAAGTTTGGATTGTGGTGGTGTAAGCACTCCTGCTTTTCTCTTTCCATCCAAGCTGTCCTTACTGCTATAGAGGGTCAGATGTTCCTCAAGGAAATACTCCATACTAGATGTATTATGAACTGGAAAATTAAGAAAAACATACTGGTGCACCTGGAGGTCCTCTTCGTCCCTCAGCTCCCTGTAACAAAAGGAATAATTGTTACTTACGACTCCTACATCGTTACTTATTGGACATTTACAATGGTTTTCTTCTCTTTTTTTCTGGCCATTGGTGTTTCATGGATCCCATGCATTTCAACAGTTGCATTTGACAGAACTCTTTGTGCTTGTAGAAGAGAAGCAAGAAAGAACATTGAGATAATGATACCAACAGTATACAAACACTTTGTGCTTTATTCTGGGACCTTGTTTCCCAGATGCCAAGGTCAATTATTATTGTTCTGTGTTACTAAATTGCTTTAAAACTTGGCTTCTAATTCCTGGTGCAATTCTATAATCAATTCGCATAAGAATATCGGAGAATTCTCATCAGTTCAGTTCCTAAAATCCCAGAAAAAAGTGGCATTAAATATATTTACTTTGGGGACTTCCTACCTCCTACCAAAAGCAAAGGAAATCTACCACTCTCATCTTTACCCCTTTTCATTCGTGTTTCAGCCTTCTTTCAAACAGTGTATTTTGGAGTGTAAGATCTGAGTAGGATGAAAAAGAGAGTATCTCAGTATTTATGGATATGCTTTAAGAGTTTTTTCAGCCAATATTTGGGATCTAGGATTAGGACTGTCTCTAGATAAATATTCTCTTTTTAAAAAATCTTAATTAATTTTAATTTTACAAATAAACATTCTGATACAGACTCATACAATCTCTTTCTGTGAATATGGATCTATATGCAACCAAAATGGTACTATCTGCATACAAGATTTGCAGAACTGAAAACAATCTTTAACATAAAACTCATAAGGGAGCAACCCATTGACCAAGGCTCATGATAACTGGGCATGCTCAGTGGCCCTAGAATGTGAAGTGTTTGTGGAGGGTGAAAAATAATGGCCTGTCAGTCTGGGCTCGTGAACAGAAATAGTCCAAACTGCAACATTACAGGGATTAAGAAGGACACTGCATTGATAAAGAGCCACTGTATTCCACAGAGCACAAATGTATGAGATTAGCCAAGACATGAGGCCTCTAAAGCCTGCAGTTCTAGTGAATGCTCCCATCTGGAACAATAATCCTTTGATGCTGCTTGTACTTGGGTTCTCCGAGACATCCTGATAGATAACAAGACTACTGGCAGATATATCCATATTTGTGCAAACCTCTGTCTCATAAAAAGGTAAATCAGAGACTACTAAAGGAGAAGCAGCCCTACTGTTGTGCGTGCACACAGAAAAGAGGTGCCAGAACACACGTGATCAGTGTATAGCGTCAATGGGAATTTGAGTGCAGACAGTGAAGATGAAGAGGTTCTGGAATGTTAGCACACTACAGTATCAGATCAAGGCCAGGGAACGCCTGCGGCATGAGAGGGGTAGCCCAGGTGGTGAGCTGATGGCCAGCCAGTCTGTGGGATTGGGGAGATAGCACAGCAGGAGGTGGAGGTGGCAGTCAAGGCTGATGAGAGCCCTGATCTCCCAAGAGGAGAACAGGGGGAGGAATTGAATAGTCTGTCAGATACAGAGGTTTGTGCCCCTGAAGAGGTGATGCCGGTTGCTAGGAGGCAACACAGATGCGAGATTCATCTGATGGAGCAACAGGAGGAGGACTGGCAGGCAAGCTATCACAGCGCCCCACTTCTGGGCTGGCATAGGAGAAAGGGGTATAAGTGGGGTGGAGATTGCGAGCTGTTAGAGACAGCTCAACACTTCACTTTGAGTGAACTCAGAGATGTGCAACAATAGGGATGTGTAACAATAAAGCCTTGTGAAAAGAAACTCTGGGGCATCATGTTTACTTGAGAGGAGGCCCATGCCGCACAACACCTATAGCTGCTCAACAGCATCTGAGTGGCCATTGCAGAGCTTTGATTTCCCGGTCTAAGGTCAGAGACAGCACTGGCCTTCCCCCTTGCAGCCAGCATGAAAAGAACTACATGGGTTGCTCTCCAAGGTCTGGAGAACAATTTTAGAAAGGGGGCATTTCATGGGGACAGGGAAGAGTGTAGACTGGAGAAGCCAGGATAGGAGGTATCCTGCACCTGCTCTGGCCTCAATCACTCCTTCTCTAAGATGATCTAGCTAGATAAGCAAAACAGCCCAGGTAGTGAAAAAGCACAGGGGGATCAAGGACAAGGATCTGAAGATCAACTGATGGTCCACAGATCACCTCCACTGTTCCTTGTATGCTGCATAGGATGCCCACGAACCTTCAAGTCAGGGGTCCTGGCGGCATCAAAATAGAATTGTGTCCTTGGTCAGCCAACTTTTAAAATTATTCTTACAATTTCTATGCAATGCATCTGGTATACTATTCTTTTATATTACATTGTACTTTTCATATACTTTGTTGTAGCCTGTTTCCAGTGCAGAAATAACACCTAGCACCTATTGTATCCAAAATGGCAGAAAAGTCAAAATGCCAGGTCTTCCATAGTGCTTAAATCCAGCTCCATATTCTGTTGAATGTACTACCTTTGTATCCAAGGCTCTAGCTTGTTTTTCTTCTTCTCTGCATTCCCCTTTACTTTTGTATCATGTCACTGTAAGCCTGAAACTAGGCACTGTCTCATTAAAGATATTTGCAATCCTCTCTGGGAGGCTTTTTGGTTGAAGTGCAGTGTAAAACTCTTCAAATAATTTTCTTTCCACCCATGCAGAATTTCATGGAAATTAAGCAATTCATGTTAGCTTTTCTCTTTCACTAAGAATTATTTGGTGTGCCAAAGGGAGAATTAAAATAAAATTCTGGCTTTCCTAATCTACAGTAGCACAACAGATGTGTTTGGAAAACTATTTTGGCAGCAGTGAAGTAAAACCAGAAATGCCCTGGGCAAGGCTCCATTCTCTCTCATTTCTCTTTTCCCCATAGTTAAGCACATTCTTGTTATGGAGTTTCATCCAGTGGTGCCATTTTGCACAAAGCTTTTACCTTTGCCGGAAATGCTGTTTTTATCTTTATTTAAGTCTCAGATCTGATACTTTGATTCTGCTTGTGCAAACTGTTGTACAATTCAGTGCATGAGGTTTTGCCCAACTCATTAGGATTTCATTAGCCCAAGCATTGCTTATGCCAGCTGTGCAATTTTTGATAGCATTTGTGGAGCTGCTCGTGGAACAATGCCAATTCTTGGCATTTTTCCACTGTTGTAACACTGAACACAAGCTATGGTTTCTGAAGGCCTGTTCTGAAATAGATTTCTCTTATTCTGTTGCTTGTGAAGAAAAACCAGTGTATCTACATTGGATCTTACATTCCTTCCTTTGGATCCTTCCCTCCCTGCTGAGCCATCTGGTCCTTTTTCTCCCTGTAGGGTAGAGAATTCAATTTTGCATTATTATTCAGCAGCCATTAGTGCAGTCCTTTCAGCTTTTCACACTGTAGTTACATCAGGACAAATGTGGACAGGCATACATAGACCAATTTTGTTGAAAGGGAAATATCATACATTTAAGGGTGCATAAACAGCATGAATAAAATAAAGAAATGGAAGATGCTAAAGCCTAAATCACAGTGTCTTTGTTTGTCACACAAGGATTACTGCTAGCAGAAAGTAGCCTTAGCGTTAAATGGCACATTGGCTTAATTGCAGAGCATGAAATGATAACCGGGCCTTTTTAAGTTTAATACTTTTCCCCTTAAAATAGTTTAGTAATTTCTTTTTAAAAAATTACAGCCCTTCAGTGTAATACTTCTTTAACTGGGACTGCAGTGAATGGAAAGGTAAAGTTTAACCTTTCCTTCTCCACCCATGATCCCTGTGAAAATCATCAAAACCTAATGCTGGAATTGGACATAGAAGAATTAAAAATGCACTGGCTCAGTTTAGGACTTAATCCCACACCAAAAAAGGGGGGATCCTGCAGTGTCACTTCAAGGCCCAGCCCAGCATGCATCGAAGTTCCCCAAGCGGGTGGCATCAGACCACAGTCAGTCTGATGCCTGGATTCTCATCCTCTATAAAGTATAATCAGATTGTAGTAATTTCTAATCTTGAGTGAACACATTGTCTATTTAACTTGCAATCTTATTCATCAATGCCCTCTCATTAGGACTGCATTTTTAATGCTTGAAAACAAATTTGCCATAAGGAAAGTCAGAATTAGCTGTAGTTACCATTCTTCCTTTTATCCCTTTGAGACCAACTGGTCCTCTTACGACATTATCCTCTCCGGAATCACCCTAAAGAAGTTTTTAAAAAGTTAACTTGCTTTCATCAAATCTTGCTGAAATTATTATATAATATGCTATAGTACATCAACCAATAAACATCTGCAGTATCACCCCTATTAGGTTTTAATTCTTCAAGATAGATTCAGGCACTTTGCATGTATAAGAAGAAACGGCTTGGGACCAGGATACCTGAAGGAATGTCTCCTTCCCCATGAGCCCTTGTGCCCCTTAAGATCTGCAGAAGAGGATCTGCTCTGGGAAACCTCATTGAAAGAGATAAGGATGGTCTCCACCCAGAGGAGGGTCTTTTCTGCGGTGGCGCCCAGACTATGGAATGTGCTCCCCAGAGAGGTTTGCCTGGCACTGGCTCTATATACTTTTTGACGCCAGGTGAAAACCTTTTTATTTGCCCACCATTTTAAATGTTAAGAATTTTAAACTGGTTTTAACTATTTCACAGTCGCATTTCGCTTTTGATTTTCCTCCTGTTTTTGATTTTGATTCTGTTTTGATTATGTTTTTATTTGTGAAATGCTATGGTTGGTTTCATGCAACCAATTTTTAATTATTGTTAATTATTGGATTGTTTGTTCTGATTTTTGTAAGCTGCCCTGAGATGCTTTTGCGTACAGGGCGGGGTATAAATATTTTAAATAAATAAATAATAAATAAATACTAAATTGCTTTTGTCAAGCTACTCTTTCTCATTCTCAGTCATTTGGCCTTTGGGGTAATTGGTGCCATCATTTGTACAGCAAGAGAGGGGCACTTTTAGGCTGTGCAATTAATCCAGCCCATGGAGGTGCCCCCTTCCCAAGTCCTGCCCCCCTGGCTTTGAGGATTGGGGAGAAAGTGAGAGGGACAATTCCGATGTTATCTTCAATTTCTGCTCAGAGATAACAGGAATTGCCTTTGTTCTGCTAGTCTTGCTTGTATCTTTTATAAACTATAGCAGACCAGTGAAGACTAGTTAAAGGCACTGATACACTTTTTCAGGCATTGCACATGAGATAAGAAGCTGCAAGCACAATATCTAAAGAATAGTGAATATGCTTCTAGAAAAACTATTTTTAAAAAACTTACAGGATCTCCTGGGAAGCCTTTCTGACCCTGGTCACCAGGAAGCCCACTTGGTCCTGAGCTGCCCTGAAGATGAAATAGACTTATGTTCAAATCTCTCAGATAGTCCTGTCTTAGTCCTGAAATTCTCAGAATTAATGACCAGAAGTTGCTAGTACAGGATGCTCTTGTTTCCTCCTTAATGGATATTGGAAGTTGAGAGTATAACCAACTGACTTTGCCCATTCTGTACTGTGTGGCTTGTAGCTTTTCAGATAAATGCAAGATGCTGATACTTACCTTTAAAACATGTCATGACCTGTAGGGCAAACATACAGTAGGGACTCTTTCTGTGCATGAATCTCCGCATCTTTCTGATCTTCTAGTAAGGGTCTGTTCTGTGTGCTTTCCGTGGGAGAAACACTGGGGCTTGAAATATGGCAGATCCAGGAATGCATCCAGCCTGCCTCTTTTGGCTTTTGGGACCTACCACTGGGAGAAACAGTGCCAGTGGCCTAGAGAGCTTTCTGGGTACAACCTGGTAGAGATGGGCCCTCAGGTCCTCCTCAATAGCCCCAAATTTCTGTCCCATTGTAACACCCCACAGACAGCAAATATGGATGTTAGATTTGCTCTGTTTGCTACATTTCATTCTGAAAGTTGCTTTAAATACAGGCAAGGGAGCATTTAGTTATTGAAAATAACTAGTATGAGGATAAGGCTTCTTTAGATCCAAGTTCTGATTCTAAGTATAAATGGGCTTTGGTGGGGAAGGGAGACTGGCTGCTGAAAGAACCACCACAAGGTGAAATGTGGCAAGGGGGCTTCCCTCTAACTCCAGTTATTATTGGGACCAGTATTCCATTCCACCACACACCTCCCGCACCGCCAAATTGGTTTCAATAGGAGGGAAAGAACAATACTAGCTCTGGGGCTGGCATAGTTCCCCAGTGCTGGGAGCATATCTGGAAAAAGAGGGAGAAAAACTTCCCCAGTCGTCTTAGACCCACCTCTCTCTCTTGCCTTCGCACAGAGGACTGCCATGGGCAGATCCCTCTTCCTTTCTTTCTCTCTCTCCCCCTCAGTCTCCTTCTCTGTGCCAATAGAGAGAGAGATCCAGTCCTCTCCCAGACACCATAAGATCACACACTGGAATGTTAGAGTTTCATCAAATACAACAGTTAAACAGCTAGCAAAGACATCTGCTCTACAGGAAAAAATACTTCAGATATCTCAAAAGTATCCACTGGGACATCCACCACATTTCACCAGCCAGTGCTAACAAAGTATTTCATCTCTTCTGAGTGTCATGCACACAGCCATTTTAAACTGTACAAAATCAGACTTGAAGCAATAACAGAGCCAGTGTGGTGTGGTTAAGAGCGTGGGACTGGGACTCAGGTGATCTGGGTTCAACTTCCCCGCTCAGGCATGAGTTGAATGAGTGACTTTGGGCCAGTCACAGACTCTCAGCTCAACCTACTCCACAACAACCTGTTGTGTGGATTAAGATTGAGAGCAGGAGGAGGAGAATGATGAAAGCAGCTTTGAGTTCTTTAAAAGAAAAAGCTGGGATATAAATCTAATTATTAAATAAATAACAGAGCTGAAAATGTTACCGCATCGCCTGAGTCCCCCTTTTCTCCTTTGAGTCCTGGAAATCCACTTGTTCCCTTAAAGAAGAGAAAAAGAGAGACGCTATCTTACAAATTTTCAAAAATAGAAACAGGACACAAGAAGATGAAAAATAATTTACCTCTTCTCCATCAATTCCATCAAGTCCATCAATCCCGTTCTCTCCCTGAGAAAACAAAATCAGGAAATATGAGTTACATCAATATCCCCAGTCATTCTGAATAAACAGATATCCAAAGTGAAATCAGGATTTTCAGCTAAGTGTGTTTTTAGATTATTTTCCTTATAACTTTGTAAGGAAGGCAGGAAGGGAGTTCTTGTTGATTTTACTCCACTAGTTGAATGGCAGTAGGGGACGGTGCTCATCTCCATTTCTCTGGCCATGAGCTAGCACTGCACAACGACATTCCTGTGGTCATGTGGCCAGCATGACACCATGGGGCACTGTTTCCTCCCCACCGAAGATTTTGGCAATGGGGCTGGCTTTATCTACTTGCATTACATACTTTGAAATTGCTAGGTTGGCAAAGCTAGAGACAAAGCAGCGGGCCTCAACTCCATTGCATGGATTCAAACTACTGACCTTTTGATTGACAGCCCAGTAGCTCAGCGGTTTAACCCACTACACCACTGCATTCCTGTATTTTGGTAAACCATTCTGAAAAGTTTTATGTTATCCACTTCAAGTCCTTGGTCAGAGCCCTCAACAGGCTTTTCTCCATTGGCTTCCCCTCTCACCACCATTTGTCATCTGCTGCTTCTCCTTCTATTTCTCAACACTGCAACCAAAACATCTGTAAGCAGTAGGTACTAGCATGTACTTCTTCTCAACACCCATCATTGTCTGGGCCAGTGGGAAGCAGGCAAATGAGTAGGTTGCAGCAATGAAATAGATTTTTATCTCTTGTCAGTGGACCCCTGCTATGGTCTGGGTCTTTGGCAGGTGCCCAGCTATACCTGCTCCAATGTCCTTCATCCATCTGGAGACTTTGCCTATCATTTTTCTTTCTCCCATCCCCGCTCTGCTCCATCATCTGTCAAGCTTTGTAGAAAGAAAGGAACACAACACCAGGTCTCTTTCCATTTGGTATCATAGCCTTTGTCCATAACATAGCTCAAACTCTGCTTCTCTCTCACCTGTCAACTTGAGAGTAGTCACTATTGGTTTTATTGTTTGATTGAAATATGGTTATTTTACAGCTTGTTTATATGCTTCTTAACTTTATATGCTTTATATGCTTCTTAAATTCTTACACCTCTGGGCTATGGGGCAGTATAGAAGAAAGCAGAGCAAAGCAGAATAAAGCAAAGCAAATATAGCTGCTTTATGCTCATTAGTGTCTCTCTTCCATTAAGATGGAACTTACTTTTCTGGCCCTCTAGTTAGGGGGAGTGATAACTCATTTCAAAGCAATCATAGAGATTAGAAGGTTCTAGATATGTTCTTCTACTATGCTATTATGACATATGCTGATCCTAGATATAAAGATTCACATTCTGTGTTTGTGTGTGTGTGTGTGTGTATGACATTCACATGGTAGATATTTCATGAGTGGAGCCAGCTGGAGCCAGGGTCAGATTAGATGGCCTGGGAGACCCCTTTTGACTAACTGTGTTTCTACGTTTCTATATGTACGTACGTACATACGGCAATCCATGGGCAGCATGGTTGAAATCACAAGGCCTCAGAAACCTCCCCCAACATACACATCTCCAAACTGGATGAAGATTTTACCTGCTTGTGAGTGTAATGTAGTACTGAGGAAGTTGGGACACTGTAGAAAATTGCCCACCCACAAATCAGGTAACATTTTTAGTTCTTAACTGAATTTCAGCTGTCAAGGGGCACCTGCTGTGTTACTGTACTTGAGAATGTCTAAGAAAGGAATAATAGAAGCCTAAATTACTTGTTTTCTTCTTCCATTCCCCATATGTAAGTTTCTCTACCAGCAGCAACAGAGCCTGTTTGAGTAGATTGTAGGTCAACTGGGGGTTGTTCATGGATTTGTGGGTTATGAAAGGTTTGAGGTAAGTGGAAGCTGATTGCACAAAGTGGCTGCAGCTCAGGAAAGGAACATGACCTTGCAAGTCATAGGTTAATTAAATAAGTGTGAACCAGGACATATGTAACTTTGTCCTGATAATATATAAATCACTGCCGGCCCTGGAGGAATTCTGAGAAGCTTCAGGAAAGGAAGTCTTTCTATGGCTGCTTAAGAATGAACCATGTTTTGATTCTACATCTGCCTTGATTCTGTGTAGGGCCGGCCCTGCCATTAGGTCACTGGAACTGTGTGGTGGAACACATGGTTTGCATGCAGCAGGTGATTCTTGGTAGAGCTGGGAAAAAGCTTCTCTAAGAAAGCCCTAGAGAGCTGCTGTCAGGCAGTGCAGTCAATGCTGAGCTAGACCAGACAATGGTTTCTGCAGCTGCATTTGTGCATCTTGACTTTTTGGAGGGACTGGAGGGTGCCATTTGCTTTTCTGTCTTGGACAGCAAAAATGTCTCGGAATTGCCCTGATTATGGGGCTCTGGGGTATGATGGGGCTCTGTCTGCCCCCTCCTCAGGATAATAGATTTTTACTCCCTTTTCCTTACCTTCTCCCCAGCACTACAGAATATTAAGAAAAGCTGGATACCTGGCTAGAATGAATCCCCTTACAATTGTCTCCTGGGCTCAAAGTGTACCTTCCTTTAAATTATCTATCAACAAATAAAATGGAAAGCTGCAGAACAAATTGACCACCACATACTAATATGTGTGTAACAAAGCTACATTAAAAAGATAATAAAAATAGGAAAAGCAGTATGCAAGAAGGGTAAAAAATCCCCTGATCAACCATGACCTAACTAATCCCCTAGGAGTTTTCAGGTATACATTTATGATGGTGAGATCATAATGATGAATCTGCATGTGCTGGAAAACAACAGTAGAAATTTTGACCAGGAAAAATTGGTGAAAAATTGGTGTTCTTCTCTCTCATACCATCCACAGCTTAAGATCTCTGCCTCTCAAGGCTGGGTGTGTGTGTTGGTGCATTGTTACACTCATTGTATAAATGTATAATCCACCTCTTGTTGAAAATTCACACTCATTTAGGCCAGGATAAAACTTTTCACTCAAAAGCAACAATGAGTTTGTATAGAAAGTAAATGTATCTTTACTGTACCTTTTCTCCCAGCATGCCTCTCAGCCCCTGAAATATTTAAAACAGGTGTTTATTTAATTACAGAAACAAACAATGATTTCTTGATGATATCAAAATAAATTGGTTCTTACTTTCTCTCCTTTTCTGCCCTTGTTTCCTCTGTCACCTTGTTGACCCATTGGGCCATGGAGTCCACGGGGACCCTAAGACAGAAAGACTGAGAATCAGTGGAAACAAAATCCTACTAAAAATTGCAAGGTAAATTCAGAATTTTTATAACTTACTGGCTCTCCATCATCTCCTGAATGTCCTCGAGGGCCATCAAAACCAGTAGGTCCCTGAAAATAAAATTGTAAATGAAAAATGGCTAGCGATTCACAAAAGTTGCAATTCTATACATTTAGGCTGAAAAACAGTCTAAATGTGCTTCCATTTCCCAGCATTCCCCAAATAGCCATGTTAACTGGGGAATTTTAGCAGTTCTAGCACTTTTTTCTGCCTAAACTTGCAAAAGATTGTACTCTCACAAGGATAATTTGATGCTTGAAAATTTGATTCAGTTGCCTGTTTAATTCAGGAATGGTAGGGATAAGTGGGCGAATTGCATGTAAGCCATTTTTGCTTTGAATTAACACTGCAGGAGTAATTGTTCAGATAATTCTGCCACAAACAACCAAGATTTCTGGATTCGTGTATCACAAAACAGCGATTAAATGGAAATGGTTTACACATAGCTTGCACACTGTCCCTGCAATCCCTGCATTAAATGGTCTAGGAATTGTCACTGAGATGTATGAACTGAGCCAATATCTACATGAAGCCATAGTAATTAGGAGATCTGAAGTGCAGTGTTATCGGAATGAGCTCTATTTCTTTATTACCCTTATCAGAAAGGGCTGTGCAAGCCCTAAACCAAGATCTGGACAAAGTGGTAGGTTCAAGAAGAAGCTACAAACTGAAGTGAGACTGCCATGGTAACCAGTGCACTGTTAACCCCACATTTTGATTATTGCAATGTACTCTATGTGAGGCTGCCCTTTATGTGGTCCAAAAGCTGCAGCAATACAATTGTAGTGTAATAGGCCCAGCCACTCCCATATCACACTGTTGTTGTGTCTGCCTGTTTCTTCCTGTTTGTGGCCAAGGTTTAAGGTGTTGATCTTAACCTATAACTTTCTGAACAACTTGGGACCTGGAGACAGGAAAGAAATACCTTTTTTCATATAAACCTGCCCAATTGCTATAAGACCTTCCTGATTATGCCAAAACCTGCACATGTCCACCTGGACACAAATGGGAAGAAGACTTTCTTCGTGGCAGTGGCTGCTCTCTGGAATATCCCCTTTCAGAAATGTAACATAAGATGAACTTACTAACAGTTTGGAGAAATGCTGAAGATTTTTTAGATTTACTGCAGCACTTGACAATTCATAACACCCATCTCAAGAATTCTTCAAATTCATGGCTGCTGATTTTACTGTCTCATTGCTAATTTTAGTCTCATGCCTGTTTGCACTGCAATTTTCTCATTGCCAATCACCCGGATGCGTTGTATGTGACAGGCTTTAAGTTTTGTCCTGCTAGCAGATCTCCCTCTGCATTCACTGAGCAGCACTGCATCACTTCCTGATTGCCTTCAGCAGGCCTCTGGGTAAGCCTAGCATTGCTTTTTAAATTATTAATTGATTAATATTTGCATATTAAGCATGCATATGCATGTGTATGCATGTTTGTATTACTGAAAGCACTGTTAAATATTTTAAAGGGGGAAATTTGGAAAAAAGCAAAGTAGTTTTTGTTTAATCGGAGCTGCACAATGCTATATGTTTCACCTATATCTGGCACATTGATTTTCTATTATTTGGAAATAGAAAGAAACAATTCACAACACCTAGTAATATTTTTCTTGTAACATGAGATGAAATGAATAAAGTAAATTTCCAGAGATGCTACGAATCATGCAGTTTTCTGCCCAACCTACATTTAACTGCTGAATTAAATGATGCACAAAATCTTTACCTGAGATCCCATTTCCGCTGTTTGTCCCCGGGGTCCTTCCTCTCCCACACATTTGCAATGCACGCAGCAGCATGTTCTCTCGGCAATTTTGTCCTTGAAAAGAAGAAATGGCCATAAACAGAATACCTGCCCTTAGAAAAATCATATAGGTATAACACTGTAGAGCACTGCCATCATTCCACCCCATTTACAAGTTGGTGTGATGATGCAAAAGGATAGGACTTTAAACCTTATTTATTTATTTATTTATTATATTTTTATACTGCCCATCAGTTCAAAGACTCCCTGGGTGGTTTACAAAATCAGAACCTTGAAATATAATCCATCAGTCCTTCCCTTAGGAACTTACCACATACTCTAATAGAATGCTGTCAATATTATGGGTGCCAATAGTTAATTGGTTATTATATCCATATCCTTTTCCAAATTCAATATGCAGAAGTTCATTAATGTTGGTGGCTCCTTCCAGGGCAACTGTTATTAATCCATCCAGTCCTATTTGAAACATTGGTTATAAGAATTTTAACAAAGCATTTCTTAGACTATTATTTTTCATATTAGTTTTACTTCCTTGCATTGAAAGATTGACTCAGATATTATGGCAAGGTAAATTCAATAAAAAGATGACAATCTCTCATTTTCTACAGCTCAGTTAGTTTTATAATTCTAGCCTGAGATAGCAAGTTATCACTTTGTAAGAGATAAAGGCAGAAAAGCAGTGACTTTGTTAATTTGTCCAAACATTTTAGCATCCAGCATTTGGACCAAACATTCCTATATAGTTGAGGTCTTACCAATAAAAATCATAAAACTGATTGGGTTGTAAATATACCTAAACTGCAATGGTGTATTAGAACTAACATAACACCTTTACTGGGAAATAGGGCAAAGAGATCTTTCTGTACTGCCCACCAGGTACAATCGCTTGATAAGAACTTGTTATTTCACTGAATAAACCGATTTGTCTGTTTATTTCCTGCCCCATGCATATATTTTATTTGTTTATTTATTTAGAAAGCTTCTATGCCGCCCCATTCGCCAAAGCCTTGGGGCGGCTCACAACAATAAATAAATAATAACAATATAAAAACAATACAATTGGAGATGTCCTGGCCAAAGATGTAAAATAAACAAACAATATTAGCAATTAAAATAAAGTTTAAATAAAAAGGTCTTCGCCTGGCACCGCAAAACAAATAACGACGGCGCCAGGCGGACCTCTCTGGGAAGTGCATTCCATAAATTGGGCACCACCACAGAGAAAGCCCTCCTCCGAGTACTTACCCTCCTAATATCCTTCATGGAGGGTTCCTGGAGAAGGGCCTCTCCCGCTGATCTCAAGGGGCGGGCGGGCATATATGGACGTAAGTGCTCCTTCAGGTAACCAGGACCCAAGCCGTTTAGGGCTTTATAAGTCATCGCCAACACCTTGAATTGGGCCCAGACTTCAATGGGGAGCCAGTAAAGCTGACGGAGAACTGGAGTCATGTGAACATAACGCCCAGTCCCTGTCAGCAGCCTGGCAGCTCTATTATGAACCAATGGAAGTATCCAGACCGTCTTTAAGGGCAGCCCCACGTAGAGCGCATTACAGAAGTCAAGTCAGGAAGTCACCAACGCATGTGTCACTGTCACCAGGCCGTCATTCTCCAGGTAGGGACACAGCTGATGGATCAGCCGAAGCTGAAAGAAAGCACTCCTCGCCACCGCTGTCACCTGAGCTTCCAGTGAAAGCTCTGGGTCGAGGAGCACCCCCAAGCTGCAGACCTTGTCCCTAAGAGGGAGTGCAACCCCATTCAGGACTAGGTCAAGGTCCCCTTCCCCGAAGCCCGATCCGCCAACCAACAGGGCCTCCGTCTTGTCTGGATTGAGCTTCAGTTTATTGTCCCTCATCCAGCCCATTATATAGCAGGATTTCTCCCTGCAGGATTTTAGGTGAATTGTCATAGAAGCTTGGAGCTGGCCTGAAGGCAGATGGTTCAGAAACCTTGCTGAAGGTAAAGTTTCAGTCTGGTTAGCGCAAGGATAGTAAACTTCCTGAAAAATGGTGTTCACCACGTTTAGTTCCATCAAAGAAGAACCCGGCACTACAAATGCTAGTAGCAGTAGTAGGAATAGAAGAACTAGCAGTAGTCATTATTGCAATAACTCAGATGGATATAGTGTACCTTGCTTTCTAAATTCTTCAGATTTATGTTGAAGGGTTATTGTATCATCATCCAAGCCATCAGAGAAAAGAAGTAACACCTTAAAAATGGATTATGAAGGTAAGATTAATATAATGATATTCTATGACAAAAACAGGATATAGAGAGTGATCTGATGTAGAACTAGAATGCAAACTATTTAGATAAGGAAACACTGAAATGGACTATAAAAGGGGACACACAATTAAAGATTCAAATCATTCCAGTTTAGCTTCAAAGGGAACTGTAAAGTATTGTGATGAATGTTAGCACCATCTGTTGGGAGTGAGACTAATTTACCTTGCTTCGGTTTCTATTATCAGAAATGTTTTGAAATGCATTCCAAAGAGTGTCCAAGAACTGCACATTGAGAAGAGAAGGCCTGTTGACCACAGTGTCCTTGAGATTCTTTAGGATTTTTTCATGTTCAACTTGGAGATTTGCCAAGTGTGATTGGTCTGTATTTTCTCTTGGGATCGCCACACTGAACTGTGTATTTGTTCCTCTATTGCAGCTCACAGAACTTGAAGATGTAAAGCGCTTTAAAATATCAGGAAGGTAGGCCTTCAAAAGGCGCTGATTACTGAAGAAGTTGTCTCCTGACTTCTGGGATGTTATATCAAAGCCAAGAACAACATCCACAAAACAAGCTGTTTTACGGAAATACAAAAATGAAGATATCAGAAATGAATTGTGGAAGTAAATGCTGAAGAAAAACAGAATTGGAGAGAGTAATAAACATGGAACAAACTCTGATAAAGCTGGTCCACTACCTCTTCTGATTGCTTGTTCTAGTCTTCTTGCCTGACACCTGGATAAACTTCTGTAGGGGTGTTATCCTAGCCAACTATGCATACATTGAAATATACTTCATAAAATGACACTTTCCAGATTTTGCAAATCATGATACTGTATCCAGTTGCATTCCAGCTGTTAATGGCATTCCATCTACATTACAGCTGCTCATTATAAGATCTATAAGATATTAAGAATTGGTGCCTGAGTATTTGTGTTTTTCTTTCCCCTCCCAACACTTTTCCTTTTCATGTTGTGTTTTTTTAGATTACAAGCCTGAGCACAGGGACTGTCTTATTTTTCTTGATCTGGAAAGAAGCTGTGGAAGAAGAATGGGGTTATAAGCACTTTAGTGAGCAACCCTATCATTTCCGAAGGAACACTTTAATCTCAGAACACTCCACATTTCCAGATGTCTGGAAGAACATGGAGAATGCAAGAAAGTATCTTTGTCTCTCTATCCTATTTTCTGTTCCCTTTTCACTAAATACACTTTTAAGCCTGTCTAATGGTATTGTGCTGAATGTGGCAGGGACAGGAGGTGGGAGGGGACAGGACTCTGACCTTGGATAAGGCAGTTGCTGCAAGTAATTCTGTGGTGCAGCAAGACTGGTGCGAAACAATCCCCATCTGGATTCCACGTTCTGAAATCATAGTGCCATCCATGGTATTACACGGGGTGGGGGACTATCATTCTATGATACCTAGAATTTGCACCCTGACCTATCTCTTTCCCCCATTCCAACCTTACAGTGGGAACCAATGCAGAAACTACTGGGATGCCTGGGTGGAGACGACAGTGCAGCTTGTGTTAGGATCAAAGCGGTGACTAGGGTCTTTGCGGGTTTTTAAATATGGGGCTTTGTCTAAGGACTATAGGATTACGTGCTAGGTGGTATTGGTTTTATTGTGTTTGCGTTTATTCTGTATCTCTCCCTAAGAGCTTTAGCTTGACGTATAAATGAAATACACACACACACACACACACACACACACACACACAACACATGCAGCAGAATCATGCAGTGCAACTTTTTCTGCATGTGTGAATTTCTTCCTATTATTCCAACACAGGCTGCAGGTGATCCCAGCCCCCTCAACACATGACACAGGAAATTATTGTGCAAAGAAAAAGATGAATGCAGAACCTTTCTCTTACTAGTTTTCTATGTGTAGGAAGATTTTTATTTGCAATATATTATTATAATATATTGTGTGTGCAATATATTATTATTATTATTATTATTATTATTATTATTATTATTATTATTTCATTACATTTCTGTTCTGCTCATAGCCAAATCTCTGGGCAGATGTATATGGTTTTATGCAGAGGTTTGCCTAAATATACTCATTTTCCCAAACTGTTACTTTGACTGCAATGCTGCTTTGTATGTTTTTCCTTCAAATGAAATTTCCCTGCTCCCTATTCCCATCACTTGTTTATCAAATTGTGCTGGAATTTTAAGGTAATTTTCCTTAATGTTTTTGTTCTCACCTACAAATATTTTCATTGTTCTATGCAAAAACTGCTGTCTTTGAGACATTCTTAGAAATGTGAGCAGATAATGCATTCATCTAATCGATCACAAAGACACAGCATTCAAATACCTAAACCCTTCCCATCGAACCCTTCCTTAAGATAGGTTTGACGACAACCTTCAGCACTAGCCCTGTTACTGAACTATCCTGCCAAACGGAAAGTTTATCCTGATGGTGAAGCACAGTTTTCTTTCCCTTATGTTAAACTCTTGATACCCGTTCCAGGTAGAATCTTAACATTTTAGTAATATGTGAGTTTTCATATTTATTGAAACAAGAGCTATGAGTTGTTTGTGGAAAACTGTAGAAAAGTCACTAGGATATACAGAATATCAAGAAATAGTCCAATCCAGCAGTCCCCTTTATGCACTGAGAAGATCTTGTGCATGGTCAGTGAGATTTCTGACTTTCTCTTCTAATAGGAGCTTTGTTCCTCCACAGCACAAGGTAAGCTCTATGTTTCAAACATTGGATTAAGCCTTTTCTGGGTTGGCAGAATTAGTCATGTAGGTCTCTGGATTGCAGCTAATGGATTTAGGAATAGTGAGGAAAATTATGGTGCGTTATCTATGTGATGAGGGTGAAGAACCCCACATGCATCAGTGAAAATAGAAGCAGGGTACAGATGAGAAGATTGTGTACAGGGAAAGGAAGGAAACATTGGGAAATTAATATATGCAATTCCTTGTTATAGTACATTAGACAACTATGAAAAATGCAAATGTTCATATAGAGAAAGATGATCTAAAATGGTTATACTGAACTGAACTTACTTGATTTAACAGGTTGACACATTTCTTCTATTACATGTTTTGCAACATTTGACAGTTCATTGTAATTAGCTACTGTATATTTTCTTTCTGGGGAGTTAGTTATCAGTTGAAGCTGCATGTGATTGACCTTTCCCACTCCAATTGCATGGATTTCCACACCATTGTCCCTCAAAACCTTTGCTGGCTCAGCAATGTTGTCATCTGACTTTCCATCAGTAATTAACAGTAACTTCTGGTGGATATTTCGAGCAATTCTCTGTTTTGGTGATTTAAAGAAGGATTTCACTTCTCTGAGAGCCTTTCCCATGTACGTTTTATCACCTTGCATCCCTGAAACATTATCTATCTTATCCTTCAGCTCTGAAGAATTCTGATAATTGCCAAGGCTGAATTCTTCTTGGTAATTTTCACTAAATTGGGCCATACCAACTTTTATATTGCTATTGTAACCAATCAAATCAAGTAATTTCTTCAAGAAGTCCTTCATCCTGTTGAAGGCTTCTGTGGATACTCTTGTGGATCCATCAATCAAAAAAACAAATTCTCCTTGGATTTCACATTCTGCAGAAGAAAACACAACATAAAACAAGATTTTTTTAGCATTAATATGGTACTAAAGGGCAAAACAATAGTCTCGCTCTCTCTCTCTCTCTCTCTCCACACACACACACACACACACACACACACACACGTGTTTAACTTCTTTACCACCAATATCTAAACTTCTCTGTTGACTGTAATACAACTATACTCTTCTATTACTATCATGTAAGAGTGCTTTTTCATAGACATTATACACGGAATCTACCAAAAGCCAAGTATTAAAAGGGAAGACAGTTGTCACATTAAGAGCTTAAATACGTGCAATATCAGTGAAGTTTTTAATGAGCTATGGCTGTTCCACCTGCTTTTTCTTTGTCTTGCAAAGCTCTAGCATTACTGAGAAAGGATAACTAGTCTCCTAGGATAACTGGACATCTAAGTTGTATTTTAGGTTGAGAGACACCTGGGAATAATGCACTATTTCTGAAACATTATGAACTCTCTCCACTTCTAATTTTCCATAATCCCAGTGCTAACCATAGAGAGTACAAAATTCAGCTATGATTTGCACTCTGTAAGTATACATGTGAATCTGTGATCTGATACAAATCAGTAGTCAATATACTTTTCTAGAAAATCTCCATCCATTTTCCTCATGCTTTACCCCAGTAATGCTCTTAACAAAACACAACATTCCTAAGAAATAAATTTTGAGTGCCACATTGCCATTAAGAAATAAAGATTGTAGGTTCCTTCTAATTCTTTTTGGCCCTCAACAAGTGTCTCATAGAGGGAATCTCACACCCCCTCCCAGTTTGAATGGAAATGTAAAAACATACTAAATTCACAATTCATCATGCCTGTTTTGTGGAACACAGCCAACTAAATTTCAGTTTTCCCCATATGGATCCGACATTAACATTTAATATTTATTAATTATATTTATATCCCACCTTTTCCCTCAGCTAGTGAGACAGGTTTTTATTTCAAACATCAGTTAATAAAAGTGGTAGGGAAAAAAATCAAACCATAATCATTAGAACTGATCAGTCCAATAGACAACCAGTCTATAATTATTGTGAGCCGCCCCGAGGCTTCGGCGAATGGGGAGGCATAAAAATGTTTTAATAAATAAATAAATAAATAAAAATAGGACAGTGGGGCCACAATTCAATTAAAAGGTCGAGTAAATGAAGTTGTCTTAATTGGGCACCTACAGTCAAACTACACATTAATTGTGCAGCATGTAGCTGATACTTACGGGGTGTGGTTTTTTTACTTTCTAGAGTGACTATGCATAGGCTTGATAAGAACTGCAACTACATACTCTAGAAGACAAATAGTCTCCCATTTTTTTAATGCTCCTGGAACCAGAACTTTTCTCCACAGTATAGCTATTAAATTATTCTATACCCATTGTTGAAAAAAAAATACAGCAAAAGAGCAAGTCAGTACATTACCTGGCTTTGAAATATTGCAAAGTTGTTGTGATAGTGTCTTGGATATGTTTTTTAGTCCTTCAAATTCATCCACATAAAACATGTTCTCTTTTGAACCAGCCATGGTCAGAAGTTCAGCAGGATTTGCTCCTTTTATCCCAATGGCATAGATAGAAATTGCATTGGCCCTAAGACTCTTTGAGACTCCATCAAGGGCGTACGTATCGTGGGAGTCACCATCAGTTATAACCATAAGAACTTGGGGGACACCCTTCCATTTGCGGCTCCCACGTGTCTCAGTGAACAGAGTTTCTGAATCCTGCAGAGCCCTGGCGGTGTATGTATTGCCATTTAAAGGGGTGTCACTCTGGATAGCCGCAATCACTGCTGATTTGGTACCGTGGGTATTAAGGTCGAACAGGTTTTCTGGATTATCTGAATACTTCAGAGCTCCAAACTGAACTTTGTCTGGGCCAACGTCAGATTTATTCACGATGCTGATCATAAAATTCTTCATGATTTCATAGTTCCATTCACCTATGCTTCCAGAACTATCAATTACAAATACAACATCTAAACGTTCTATCCTTTTGCACTCTGGAAAGCAAACAAGATACAAACATCATTAATGAAACTGCCCAAATATCTTCTTGTTCTTAAAAATGCAAATTCATTTCTCTCAAATTCACAAATAAAAGGCATGTGATTTCTCATTATGTAATATTTGTTAAGAATGGGTTAGTTGCTCCATTATGGTTGTGTTCTATATTTACCCAAAGTGGTCAACATTTCCTTGTCCATAGGTACGTTTTGTACACTGCTAGCCAACAAACCTGAATCAAACTGAAAGCTGGGGAGCCATCATTTTTAAAAAGTTGAGAGAGGGTTCACCTCCCACTGTGTATAGCCATTTTTGTTCCTGTTCCACTTGACATTTCCACACATAGGACTCCTAGCAATAGTACTCAAAGGGCACTTTTCAGCTATTCTATCTTTTTACTGATTTTTTCCCCCCTGCTTATAAAAGATGGAAGCAGTGGTGGGAAAACACAAGACGTTAATGAGTGAAAGATGGCAACAACTGGACCTTCATAAAATTTTATGAAAGAGCTACTGTGGTTGTTCAGAAGCAGAGCAATCCTATGGCACCTAGTCAGCATCCGGAGAGCCATTGGCTTATTCACATTCCCAGATTCAAGATCAGCAACAAAGCTCCAACCTCAGAGCTGGGGATCCACACTCAGATCCTGTATCTCTCTTGCAGGTGGCATGGAAAGAGCCATGCGGGCTGCTTCTATGAGGTTCTAACAATGACCGAGAGAAGACTTGGGGGAATAGGAGGAGCCTGGGACTGCTAGGCTATGCTGTATCATGGTGGCACCAAAGGCTACTTCCCTTGCCCTCTGAAATGCTGGAGTTTCACAGCTGAACATTGCCTTTGTACTCATCCTGTTCTGCCTAGAATGCACATAATCCTCTGCATTCAGGGCCCTGAAAGCCTCATCTGGAAGCACCCATTATTGCCTCTGATAATACAGGTTTTGGGCACAATGCAAAACCCTGTAAAACCTGATTGCCAGAACCTTAAGTGGGGTAAGTGAACATATTATCTGCAGCAACCCTGGTGTCCAGCAATCCTACTATCAAACTGCCTCCAACTCTCATAAATATCTATCCATCTATAGCCAACCTATGATTTTCTATTCTGTTTCTTGAAAAGTTAAATGAACCCAGTAACTCAGCACTATTCTATAACCTCTTCTTTGAATTCCATAACACCAGAAGCATCAAAACACCTTTGTTAAATTTAATATCTGTGAAAGTGAAATATCCAGCCTTTGTAGATGGCTGCATGTGTTCTCCCACTGATTGCTCATTCACTAATTATGATAGGACACCAAATCATGAATCAGTCCCTATGCCTGTAATCATCACCTGGAGTTGGAACACTGGGTGACAGTTTAGAGGTATGGAGCGGCAGACAGCCTGCCTGACATGAAAGAAGCATGGAAATAGCTTGCCAGAACCACCCAGGAATTTTATATCAATGAGGGGCGTCAAAACAGCAGCCCTTTGATTCATATCATATACATGGTGGGCATGTCGTGAGCGGAGCTGGCTGGAGCCAGGGGTCAGACTAGATGGCCCGGGAGACCCCTTCTGACTCGCTCTGTTTCTCTGTTTCTAAATTTCAGCCTCTTAGAACTGCTGCTGGACTAGCTCTCATTACATTCGAATAACCCCATCCTTAAAAACTGCAGTAGCCATATTAGTGTCGTTGCAGTCTATAACATAAACTAACATAAACTATAAGGGGACCCCAAGATTCACATTTATTTTGAAGGCTTTGAAATGGCAAGGGTTTTGCATAAAGTTGCTATTAGAATGCAATGTGACCATAGGAATGGTCATTCAGTGATAGGAGAACAAATGTGATGTAGCTAGCAGAGTGTTACAGCTGCCATCTGTCAGATCGAGATTTAAAACCCAGCAGAGGCTAGGTGCACCTTGTATCACAGCCTCATTGGTAAAATACAAATCTTAAGTTGTAGTGAGAATGGACCAAGTAAATGAATTTAATGTCTTGTAGTTACTGAGCTGACACAAGACAGAAACTGGGTGGTGTTGTGTTCAAGAGAGACCCAGGAGATCCAGGTTCTGGTTCTTACTCAGTTATGAAGATCAGTGGATAACTCTCAGACTCACCCACCCCACAGGGCTGCTAAGATGAGGAAGATTTTATAAGCCACCTTAGGTTCCTTGCAGGAAAAGAGATGGACTGGAAATTAAGTGAATAAATAAAACAAGGTGGCTAAATATTGATCCTCACTTGCTGAACTGCCATGGAAGTGGTGAGGTCAATCATAATTATAGAAGATGGCATCTGAAGTGCTAATAAGAATTAGCATCTCCATGGTCTGAACAGTGACCTGTTGTATCCCCCAACCTGCAATCATGGAAATCTCCATCAAATTTGGCGGTAGTTGTGCAATACATGCATCACATTACCCACTGCTCAAATAATCACAATGCAAAACTGCAAACTATGAGTGTATGCTTTCTGTCATTCCCCCCCCCCCCCGCCCCACCAAAGTTACAAACTGCTCATTAGACTACCTCCTCATTCTCTGAGGAGGACACACATAAAAACACACGTACCCACACAGTGCCTAAATGAAAAAGAGCAAGTACTAACCGTCAGGCTCATAGATAGTGCATATGTCAAAAATAATGGCATTTTCTAACTGCTTAAGAATATCAAAGTTTTCCACATAAAACACCTTATCAGTTCTTCCACTTATTTCTTCCAGTTGTGGTTTATAGGCATTGAAAACCCCAACTGCATAGATTATGATGCCTTTCTCTCTCAGTGCTGTTGCTGGAGTTGCTACTTCATCTTGCGCTTCCCCATCTGTGATCAGGATAAGAATTTTGTTGACTGAAGGCCGTGCTCCTTTGGTAGGTTTAAAATAATTGGAAATGACGTTCAGTGCGGCTCCAGTGAGTGTGTTTTGGTCCATAAGCGCCATTCTTCCAATAGCATTAATGATATCACTTTTTGTGGAATGCTTGTGGAGTGGGAATTCTTCTTTAGGTATGTCACTGAACTGGACAACACCAATCTGCACACGGTCTGGACCAATGTCAGATTTTTTCACCAGCTCTTTCATGAAGTTCTTCATTTTCTTGAAGTTCTCAGGTCCTATGCTACGAGAACTGTCCACTAGGAACATGATATCAGCTTTCATTGGCTTACAAGCTACAGGGGTAAAACAAATATTACTCAGATTAAAATAAGTCCCAGATGTTATTTATGTGATTTAAACAAAAGACTTGTCATATCCTAGCAAAAGCTGACAGATCCATTCTGAACTTTGATTAAGAGCAATGCGGTTTTTAATCTGATTTTTAACTGTTAAATTATGTCCATTGCTACTAATTGCACTGTTGCAAGTTATCTAAATTCTTCGCTGTTTAAAGGTCGGGCAAACTCTTACACTTTATCTTCCAAACAAATTTTGGAACTCTGTGTTTCCCTCATAATACTCAGTAGTTGTAATTGTGGGTTCTGAAATCAATATATGTCCTGGAAATCTAAAGGCAAGACAAGTATTCATCTGTCAAACAAACCCAACTGAGTTTCTGTTTACAGGAAGAAGTACCCAGGGGATTTTTCTTACCTTCCTCAGAGCATATGTCTCGAACAAGCTCATTTTTTATTTCTTTCAAGGCCTCAAACTGTTGCACAAAGTAAACCTTGGACTTTGAGCTTGCAATCTCATACAACTGTGTTATATTAGCATCTTTCACACCAATAGCGTAGATGTTCACCGCAGTATTTCTAAGCTCTCTGGCAGGTACCAGCACATTGTCATGTGCCTCCCCATCTGTCAGCACGATGAGATAGCAGGGCACGCTGCTGCCACGCTGCTTTCTTGCTTTTTCAAACAAGGGCTGCATAGAATGTATAGCAGCTCCAGTATACGTATCTCCTCCCAGTTGTTTGATGTTATTAATGGCTTTTTCCAAAAGGATACTTTTAGTGTGCTCATCAATTTCAAATTCTTTTTTATCATTGTTTGAATATTGCACCACTCCGAATCGAACCTGATCAGGCCCTACAGAAAAGAGCTTGATCACTTCCTTCAGAAAAGTCTTCATGTCATCAAAATATTTCGGATGAATGCTGGAAGAGCCATCAATTAGAAAATAAATATCGGCCTTTTCTGTGTCGATACATCCTACGAAGACAGAGATAAAATATAATATCTTATGTGGTGTTTGGCATAGATAAGACACAGAATAAAACATAAGCATGAGTAGATGCAACAAGTGGTCAGTAGTAAAGGATGAGGGCCAGATACGGGGAGAGCAGAACGTTAGTAGGACCAGAAGATCTGGACACCCCTATGTTGCTGAAAAGGAGTAATGCAAAGAGGCAAGAGAGGAAATGATTTACTGGATTGGATGTTTTCTTAGGCAGGTCCCCCATGTATATGTTGAAGTACCTAATATGTAATCAGTGGTGGCCAGTGGTGGCCAGTAAATGCTAGCCTAATCTGTGTTTTGTTTATGCCAAGTGGAGAGTTTTAAGGCTCCAAAGAAGTCTCCTGCAGAGCCATGATTGCATCATCCATGTAAATCAGTTGGGCAGCTGGCCACCTTAGCAGAAAAGCAGCTTCACAGTGGCAGATTTTTTGGGACCCCACCACCAGTCAAGCACAATCTATCCAACCCTGAAGGACCTCTTCCTACCACTGCTGTGAAAAAGGGGACATCTTGCCAAATGTGTTGTCTAGTGGTCTGTCTGTTCCATCATCAGTGTCATCGTCATCATCAAGTCTTCATGGCACTTCACAAACACAATCTAATTGTAATCTGTACAAAAACCCAGTAAGTATTATTATCCTCCGTATTGTGATATGGAGTGGGCAGGCTGAAGCTGAAGGGGGAAAAGTGGCGTTTGCCTTGCCTAAGGCTACCCTGTGAATTTCTGGCAGAGCTGAGATTCTTATGCGTGCGGAAGGCACAAATAAAGAGGGTGAAAAAATAATGTTTCACAGGTTGGTCAGAGATATGTTCTCTTTTCAAAAACAAAATAAGGGGCAGACAGATTTAAGCAGGGTTTATGCTTACCAGGCTGCATCAAAGGCATTACCTGTTCTGAGCTGCACTTTTTTTCCTGCTTGGACATAGAGCTTGTGATGTATTTGGTTGAAGAGTTTCTTCTCAAAAACCTCGCTCTGATTTGGAAGATTGGAAAATGTGATCCGTGATATAACATTTCGCTCTGGCGGATATGACACCACCTGAGTTAACTGGGTGATGTTGGCCCCTTCAATGCCTATGGCAAATACCGTCACACCAGTCCGTTGAAGGAGTGCAGCTGCTTCAGGCAAGCTGTCATCGGAGGGTCTGTGTGTGATGACCATGGCTACTTGTTCCACCCCTTGAGTCTTTCTGCTTCCATAAGCCTCAGCAAAAAGCGTTTTCCTGGTAAAATTCAGGGCAGCACCAAGGTGAGCCTTTCCTTGTTTGGGAGAAAAGTTCTGAATTGCCTTCAGCAGATCACTTTTATCTCTTCCCTTGTACAGATAAGATAATACTTCTGGTTCAGTACTGAATGTCACAAGGCCAATATTTATACATTCTTCCTTTACATCAAGAGAGTTTATTGTATTGGTTAAGAATTTTGCAGTAGCATCAGCGCCTGTGTTTGAAACACTCTCATCCAACACAAATACAACATCTGCTACAGAATCATTAGAACAACCTGCAATGGGGAAGGAAAAATAACAATATTAGCAGTGCTAGATTTTTCTTTGATAAAACTTGTGTTCTTACAATACAGCAAAAAAGCACTTTTCATATCAGAACTTGAATTAGCAACTTGATCCAACAAACAGTGGGACAAGTACAGAATGAATAAGTTTGTTATTGATGACCAAAATATCAAAGAAGCATAAGAGAACATGCATGAAATGTCATGATGGCTTATGTGTCCCATACAGACTTCTGTTGATGTTTCCTTCACATTACAAAATATTTCCCACACTGCAGGAAAAAGCAAAAAGGGCTCTAACATCATGGATCTACTTTATATGTTGTATTGTCCAAGACCCCCAATACATCCTTCATGATTTTTTATTTGCTATGGATTAGGAATCTTCATCATCAATACCTCAGAGCTGCCAGGTGCCCTGGATGGATCTTGATTCTTAGATTTTCTGTGCTCTGGACTTACACAGTGTAGAGTGTCCAAAGTGCAGCTTTGGTAATTGAAATCTTCTGTGTGGTGGATCTGACTTATTCTTGAACCTATCTTTGATCTGATAGACCTTGACCTATTTAGTTCTTTGTTTTCAACAAACGTTTCTAGATTGGATTAAAATTCAATGTATATGGATTTGCTAAGGTGTGTTTCTTGAATTTGTTTTAGTTCTCTTGTCTTTGATGGTCTGGAAAGGATTACCCCAAGAATCGTCAAGCCCTGGCCCTTTATTCTAGCTTCAGAGATTACAACATGGAAACTGAGCTGTCTGGAGCTGTTTCTTATGCAGCTCTAGTTGCTAGCTTTGAAGTGCAAAGTAATTTTGTGCCATTACTTATGGAGGCTTATTGCTACCAGTGATGTAATTTCTAAATATTGCAACAATTAAGGTTCAGACATGAAATTTGCTTCAATAAAAGAGTGTCACTGATTTGGCTCTGTGTCAGAAAGCAATAGTGTAGGCTTTAAAGTTCAGATCAGTGGCAAATGCAAGGACAATTAGTTAATCTCCTCCCGCCCATTATAATCGCACTCAGACTGCTCCCTAGCTCTAATCTATCAAGTTTATGTAGGATACATTAAATGCATTTGTATGACTTCTGGGGGTTTTTTTAATTAATTCAATGACTTTACCTTTTACTGCATTGTTTTCTTTACCTTTTGGGGGAATGGTTTCTATAATACTTGGTGGAGCAGTTGTTGAGATGACTGGGATACTATCAGCTTGTATAGCAGCTCCAATGACAACAGACATATTTTGAGAAAATGTTACGAGATCCCTTGGTGTATCAAAATAATAGTGGAATGACTGTGTGGCCATTGCCTGCAGTTCTTCCTGGGTTGTAGCCAGTGTTCCCAAAGCTATCACTTTTATCCCTTCATCCTGTAATAACTTTGCAGGTCTTCTCACATCATCAACTGACAATCCGGAAGTTGAGACCACCAAAATCTGGCTTCTGTCTTTGCTTGGGGTTTTGAAGAAAGTCTCATGGACCTTCTGTATGGCATTCCCAGTTCTTAATGATCCACCCCTGAAAGCCAAGTTCTTTTTGATGTGGTTCAACATGGGGTTCTTTGCTTTAAAGCTATCCAGCTGGAATTCAATGTGCACATCATCACTGTACTGCACAAGTGCAACACGGTATTTGTTTGGAAAATTGTTGATAATCTTGTTAACAAAAGATTTCACAGAGGGAAAAGACCTTCTGCCAAGGGCATCGGAACTGTCCATCAAAAGGACAATATCTGCAGACTCAGAGGCTGCAAAAGCAGAAAATGAAGGTTAGCATTATGCTGTTGACTACTGATTCATATATTTACTCTGCTTTTCAAAATTGCTGAATATTCTAAAATTTCAAAATGTTCACAATATGTATGTATTAAACATACACTATAAAACCAACATAGAAACAGAGAAAGTGCAATAACAAAAAGTTGCATAAAATATTACTATGAGTAAATCATTAATCAAAGCAGTGTCATCATGCATTAGGTGTACACATGTACACACACATGCCCCTATACAGAGCAATATGCTTTTCAGTTTATTATGTTTCCTTTGTATTTCATATAAATATTTTATTTGTTCCTGTAACTTCTTCCTGTAACAACTTCTAGGAATATGATTAAAGGTCAATATGAAAATGCATCCACTATGTATGTAATATTTTGCAGCATGTATAATAGTCCCTTGCAATTGAGGCTTTTCCTAATTTACATAACCTAGAACTGAAACTGATTTAATTAGAGTATTTTAGAAAGCTTCATGAACCAGAAAAAAAAATCAAATGTCTACTACAAAGGGGTGTACAGTAAATTATAATCACATAAATGGAACAATCCAAATTAAAATGCAAAATGATAAGACAGTTGTTAAAGGATACAAAGTACCGAGTTCTAGCATTGTAGAAGTCTCAATCCCAAGAATAATGAGGAGGAAAGTCAGAAACATCTTCAGGCTGTGCATAGATGGTCCAGGAAATAGATCTAAAAATAGCAATAACAATAATTCCTTGCATCTTTTGTCACCAATAATACCACTTCTTTATACATTCAAATAAAATTTCTTTTCAGGGCTACCAATGGCTTAGGAAACCATCTGGCACTAAGTTAGTATTTCAAGCTGTGTAAACTTTAAACACAGAAGGTGAGATACAATGAGTCCTTACCTATGCCTGACAGAAATGGCACAGAATCATTACTATAGAAGTCATTTCTATAAAAACTTTACTATAGAAAAGGTTTCCAACTACCACAGAGTCTTCTGGAAAGTGTGGCAGCTGCAGAAGCCACTCCAACCATCAATGTGTGGACCAATGAGGAAGAGGCAGGGAGTAATGCACCTTGGGAATAAGCTTCAGGTACAGTGGCTGATGGGGTACATGCCAACAGTGGGAGGACAGAGCGGGGAGGATTGAAGCCACGTTAAAATAGAAAACACTTGATTGTCAGATAGATCATGGTAAAATAACTGTGAAGCATGATAACCGTGCAGGGTTGCTTGTTGTGTTATGTGAACACAACTATTACACAGGTCATGCAAACAAACAGTAAGTCTATTATGGCAGCAGGGAAGAAGCAGGAGTTATCCTCCCATTTGCCAAAATAAATCTTGTCCTCCATTTCCTTTACTTTCCTTAGTAAAGGAATTTCCTGAGCATAACATTCTTTTGTAATGGCCAATGTCCTATCATATTATTTCCACCCCACTTTAAAACCTGCATATGCAGCTGCTCGCTCGCTCGCTCTCTCGCTCTCTCTCTCACACACACACACTGTAGTTTGAAATACACCCATAAACACTCCTTTTACTGTTATTATTTGATCATCAACTTCCAAGGATGATGCTAGGTCAGATGAGGAGGATTTTTCTTCTCTTGCCAAATTTTAATTACATTTCTTTGAAGCCAAAAGGAATTAGCAAAAGCCAGTTTTGATTCTGTTGCAGAAAAGTTCTGAATGGGTGTTCACAAACTATACATTTTCCTGCACATAAGTAATTCCTATGAAATCAGAACAGTGTCAGCAAAAACAATGAATTGCAACAAAACCTCTCCATCCATTAAGGTATATCACAAGCTTTATAAACCCAGGCCCTCTTCCAAACTTACGCAGCCTTTAGAGTCCCATAAGTCAGCTGAAAGTATTTGTTTGTAAAAACTCTGACATGCATCTGTCTTGATGGAAGTCAGGCCTACATATGGGAATTTGTACATCAGGAAAAATGATATTTTTAAAGCAGCAATGCCCCTTCTTGCCCTCCACACATGCAATGGCAGAGCTTGGTACCAAAAAAAATCTGGGGCTCAAGCCCACAAACAAACAATTGCACAACTATGCATAGGCTAACCTACATAGGCAAATATGCTTGCATACTTAAAAGTAATAGCTATATTTTTTACAGAAGGCAGGCTACTGGACTTTTGCTTACTGTCACAACAGAGCTCTGACATTTCCCAAATTGTGCTTGTTTAACATGTATCTTCCATGTGCTCATTCTTTCTTTGGTCTTTCAGGCCCAAATCCTGATGGGAAGAATGCGATGCTTAGGATCCACAAGGAACTTTTTCTGTGTTAAGTGGAAATATTGGCCTTTCAGATAGTCCAGCCAAGCCATTGGCCCTTCAGCTCCAGCTTCTAGGTGCTGTGACCCTCAGCAAAAGCATACAAATGATGGTAAAATGGAGGATTCTTCCATTTGGACTTGGTCAAGATAGAGTCTGTGTTGTCTGGCTCAGTGGGTCTCTCCAGAACAACCATAGCAACACGCTCAGAACCCTGTCCTGGCTTGCCGACAGATCAACACACAGATAGGTGGTACCCTCAATAGGCAAAAAGCCTGGCACCAGACTGTGTGGGGAGGTATGTCTACTTTCAAGTAGATTTTCTTGTGGATATCTATTTTTATGATATTTATATTATATATATATATATATAATAAATCCTTATATTTCTATCCCGCCTGTTTTCCTTTCAAGGAATACAAGGTGGCTTACACAATTGTTCTCTTCCTCTCAATGTTATCGTCACAACAAGCCTGTGAAATAGGTTGGGTTGAGAACAGAGACTGGCCCAAAGTCCCCCAGTGAGTTTTGTGACTGATTTGAGACAATAACTGACACTCTAACACCCTAACCACTCCGCTACACTGCCTCTACTAGGTGTGACAGGCAACCACTTAAAACAGAAAGCTGAAGGGTCTACTTACAATGGAGGCTTGAATGACACATGACACAAATCACATGATACCATCTCCCACATGTTTCTTTTATCTGGTGCAACTGCCCAGACTGCAATCTCCAATGGGCAGCCAAATCGACTTACTATCCAATCCCTCAACCCAAGGAACATTACAAGCAGAACATTTGTCTCCAACCCACTTGGTAACACTCGTTCTTTAGATTCCCTCTGCTAATTTTTGTTTGTATGCAGTATAACCACTCTAACTGGAATACAGGAAGGAGGGGGCGGATGAGAGCCAAATTAAAAGAAGAATGATGTGGATGGCAAGTCATGTTGTTTCTTTGCTTCATAAGCAAATGCTTTTTGAATGGCTGTATTTATTTGTTCCAGGAAGCATATAAATAGATATTTGTTTTTGATAATCCTAGGTAAATTGGCATCTGTCCTGAAGTGGGTTGATTCTAATTGTAATTGTGTGGAATGGGAATAAGAATGCCAATCTGTTTTCCATGTGTACATATCCTTCATAATATGAGCTTATTCTTAAATTTGGAAATTTATTTCAATTGGAAATTTGGAACATGAATGCCAAGCAGCAAACTAATGCTGGTCCATATGGTGACCCCAAGTCCTATGCAGCTACTTTCACTAAGTCTCATGCACCTAAGCAATGGGAGTTTCAATGAAGTTTCACAAGACTTTGCTCCAGATTTTGCAAAGTTTGCTGAACATTGGAGAAGACTCACGAGACTGAGGTCAGCATTTCTGTGGCCCTGGCAGCAGCAGCTGCCGGGGAGCAAAAAATGGGAAAGATGTGGCAGAGGGACCTGCCTTGGGCAGTATAATAGCATGACCTTGCCCTGTCTCCTGTATATATCAGCCAAAATATAATGAATGAAATGGAACATTAGTTCCCAGTGAAGTTAATTGTGATTAACTTCTGAGGGTTTCAGCAGGAAAAATCAACCTTAAAGTAGTCATAGTCATGATTAACTTGTGCCACGTTGAATTGAAAGGGTCTACACTAAATAGGACTTACTCTGGAGTAAGAATGAATCATAACTAAATATTGTCATTGCTGGAGAAGACTCCTGAGAGTCCCTTGGACTGCAAGACGATCAAACCAGTCAGTCCTAGACGTGAACAAACCTGACTGCTCCTTAGAAGGCCAGATACTGAAGATGAAACTCAAATACTTTGAGCTAGCAACCTAATGAGAAGGAAGGACTCACTGGAGAAGAGCCTAATGCTTGGAACAATTGACGGCAAAAGAAGAAGGGGATTGCAGAGGATGAGCTGGCTAGATGGGTTGCACTCCCTCTTAGGGACAAGGTCTGCAGCTTGGGAGTGCTCCTCGACCCAGAGCTTTCACTGGAAGCTCAGGTGACAGCGGTGGCGAGGAGCACTTTCTTTCAGCTTCGGCTGATCCATCAGCTGCGCCCCTACGTGGAGAATGACTGCCTGGCGACAGTGACACACGCGTTGGCAACTTCCCGACTTGACTTCTGTAACGCGCTCTACGTGGGGCTACCCTTGAAGACAGTCTGGATACTTCAATTGGTTCAAAATAGAGCTGCCAGGCTGCTGATGGGGACTGGGCATTATGTTCACATGACTCCAGTTCTCCGTCAGGTTCACTGGCTTCCCATTGAAGTCCGGGCCCAATTCAAGGTGTTGGTGATGACCTATAAAGCCCTAAATGGCTTGGGTCCTGGTTACCTGAAGGAGCGCTTACATCCATATATGCCCGCCCGCCCCTTGAGATCAGCGGGAGAGGCCCTTCTCCGGGAACCCTCCGTGAAGGAAATTAGGAGGGTGAGTACTCGGAGGAGGGCTTTCTCAGGGGTGGCGCCCAATCTATGGAATGCGCTCCCCAGAGAGGTTCGCCTGGAGCCGTCGTTAATTGTTTTTCGGCACCAGGTGAGGACCTTTTTATTCAAACGTTATTTTAATTGTTAATATTATTTATTTATTTTATTCTTTGGCCAGGGCGACTTAAATTTTACAGTTATACTGCTAAATTATATTGTTTTATATTACGTTATTTATTTATGATTGTGAGCTGCCCCGAGGCTTCGGTGAATGCGGCGGCATAGAAGTCCTCTAAATAAATAAATAAATAAATAATAGATGGAGTCACTGAAGCAGTCGGCGTGAGCTTAAGTGGACTCTGGGGGATGGTGGAGGACAGGAAGGCCTGGAGGAATGTTGTCCATGGGGTTGCGATGGGTCGGACACAACTTTGCGACTAACAACAACAACAAATATTGTCATATCAGGTATTATATGTGCAAAACCATTCAAATTACTACTAGGACTCATACAGTTGATGCCTCCAAACATCCACAGTGTAGGTGCATTTGGGATACTGTATGCATTTCTGATTGCCCCATTTCTGAAATGGTAATGCAGAACTGGAAAAAATGCAGAAGGTGGCAATCAAAATTATAAGGATCAAGAAAAGGCTAAATGGCTATTTAGGCAGATAAAATGGAGATTGCTAACTTTCTTCTATAATGTTTGAACATGGGATCATTCAATAAAATTAATGTAGGTTAGAGTCAGGATAGATAAAAATTTACTTCTCATACGCAATAGATGATTGGATTTTTGATGGCTATTATCTATGATAATGGCTTTCCAGGCTGACAGAGAGTATTATCTTTCCTTAACCTGTGCTGAACTACAACTCCCATCATTCACCATGGTGGTTTGGAGGAGTAATCCTATATATCTGGAAGGTAACAATTGAGGAAAGCTGCAATGACCAGTTCCAATGACCAGTTCCATTGGATAAAACAATGTGCAGAGAGGGTGCTGTCCTTATGTGGAATTTTGTATGGCCGCTATGGCCAATGAATGGTGGAACTTATGCTGGAATCCCCCAAAAGAAAAATATGTACATAATCAACTAGAGAACTGCAGTTCTATAGCCAGTCTCTTGGTGGTAACACTTACTGAACTTGAACAGAAGTCACCTGAGATAATTTTCTAGACGAAGATGTATAGAACTGCATTGTAAAGGAAACAAAAGCCTTTTTTTTGTTCTCTACATGCTCAAACTTAAAATATATTAAAGCTGTATTGAGATGCTTTGTTTCCATTACACAGGAAGAACACTCTTTAGCGAAAAGTATAGAAGGAAAGGTAATGGATTGTAAAGGAATTGCTTTGATGAATTTCTTTTCTTCATTGGCATCCACTGGATTTGTATTTTCTTTTATTTCATGTTTCATTGGAATGCCTTGTCCTAATAAAATTTCATACCACATTATGGAGAGAAATGATTGTGCTATTAAGTAGCCTATTTCCAATTAGGATACAATCATATACATGGTAGTTGCAGGGCTTTTTCTTATCTAAACGTGTTGGTTTTCCAAGTGCTCAACCATGAGCCCTTTTTGTCCCATTTCTGCATTACTGCATGATTTTTCAAAGGAAATCCACATGAAGATGGATATAAATGCATATTTAATATGTATTTTTGAAGTTATTTCTCACGAAATACATTTTCTAACTGTATTTTATCTAAACATAAACATTCCTAAGTGCATTTTATTGTATAATACATACCTTTGGGACTGCGGGTGGTGCAGTGGTTTGAACTGCTAATCTGCTGGGCTGGTTGATTGAAAGGTCAACAGTTTGAATCCGCAGACGGGGTGAGCTCCCGTGCTCCGTCCCAGCTCCTGCCAGCCTTGCAGGTCGAAAGCATACAAATGCAAGTAGATAAAAAGGCACCACTTTGGTGGGCAGGTAACAGTGCACCATGCACCTCGGTGTTTAGTCATGCTGGCCACATGCCCACGGAGACTGTCGGTGGACAAATGCTGGCTCCCTTGGCTAGGAAACGGAGATGAGCACCATCCCCTAGAGTCAGGCATGACTGGACTTTAATGTCATGGGGAACCCTTTACCTTTACATACCTTTCAACACATTTTGTTACTTAGTTACCTTTTGAGCTGAGAACTGTGTCACAGCATTTAAAGAAACTTGAAATTCTGAAGGACAATCCTTTCTGATATGCATGCTATTCTGAGGGAATGCAGCTGGTCAATTCTTATCAGAATTCACAAAAATTGAATTTCTCAAGGATCTCTCTACTGTAAAGAATATGTTGCTGTTTACCTAGTTTGTTCATCTTTGCTTAAAAGACATAAATTATTACAACCTGAGGCTATAACCCTATACATCCTTAAAGCCTAACAGCTTTCAATATGACTTAATTCTGATTAATTCTTAGGTGCAGTAAGGGAGGGGGAAACTAACATTCACTGGTAGTTTTTCAGCTATTGCAGTAACTGCTGAGGAAATGTGTACTGTACCTAGGAGCTGTGTAACATTTGTACAGCTATAAACCACAGTTTGGTCACACTCTGTTGTGTTACAGCAAGAATTCGTTTTTCTTTTTTTCCTCCCCTCTGGAGTCTGGAGAATATAAGGATATCTTGACACTACAGTACAGAACTTCTTGTTACATTAAGCTCATTGCAGTCAAAAGTTAGTCATTTTAAATTGCTGTCATTCTGAAAGGGTTATGTATGAATTTAACAGCACAATCTTACAGTTGACTTAAGGGAATTCACTCCTAGAGAAATAGGTATAATATTACAGACTGGATCTCCTAATCAAACACGCGTGCATACACACGCCTCCACACACACACATGCACAAAGGACATGATCTTACATATATATTCAGACAGGAAGAAAGTTCATGGCTAGCTGTGGAATACTTGGTGTTGTCAGACTTTTTTCTGCCTAAGCATGCATATGATTGCACCCTAAAGCTGCAGTACTTTGTTTGTTTGTTTTGCAATCCTACTCTTTTCCTTTTAAGAAATTCAGGGCAGCTTACATAATTCTCATCCTCCTCTCTATCTTATTCTCACAACAATAACAACGCTGTGAGGTAGGATGGTCTGAGAGTCTGTGAATGGTTCATGAGCTGCATGGCTGAGTGGGGATTAGAACTCAGATCACCTGAGTCCCTGTCCTGGGCTCTTAACCACTACACCTCATGATGACAGTAAGTCCCATTGAATTCAGCAGGATTTGATTTTGAACAGACTTCCATAGGATTGTACTATACAATTGTGTTTTGCATGCATTACAAATATAGTTTTCAGTTAATACTTTCCTATCCCTGTGAAAGCAAAGGAAATATTTGGGATAGATACAAGAAAAACATAAAGAAATGGACACGGTAATAGTCCAGTGCTATATTGTGAAATGAATTGCACTTTAATCTTTGAAATAACCATTGCCATTTTCAGAAATTAACAGGGGAGATTAAATTCAAATATGTGTATTTCTTTCCAAAGCAAGATGTGTAGGAAAAAAGGAAAAGGACAGAATATGGGCAAAAGAATGACATATTTATCCTTGACACAAATACTAGCAGTATTGAGAATTAACAGATAAGATTACATTCACAGCCATGGTTTGTAACATCTTTAAATACTACGACTCTGTACCTTCATCATTTCAAACAGCCTTCTACAAACTCATCATCCTCTTTTCTGAAATTTTAGCATCCTCTTTTCTGAAATTTTTAAATTTAGCATTTAAATTTTTAAATGTAATTTTAGCATCTACTCTTCATGAAAAGGGTTCTGATCAAACAACATTTTTAAAATTTGCAGCTGCAACAAAATAAGCAACAATCCCACTTCACTTCAACAAATGAAAACACTTACCAGTTAACAAGATGCTCATAACTTCATCTCTTCAGGAAAAATTGGCACTTTTATGAACAGCTGTGTCAGCAGCATCCTATTAATCTTGTCATAAAGCAACAATGTAACAGAGTTAGTTCTCTGGAAATGGGTCCCAAGCTACATGAAATGTACAGCATCAGTCCCATCCCACTGTGCAATTTCCACTACATCATCTGCCCTGAATTCACTGTCAAAAGCCAAAGTAGCAAAGGTGGAGCTTGATTTGTTCAGGGCATTGGTTCTGTGGGATCCTCTTCCCTCCACAAACTAAAACTCACTTTCATTTTCAGAGGGGACATTCCCTCCTTCCAAATAGTCAGTTTAAAACTGGATAAAAGAGGATTGCATTTCCCAAGGTTTCTAATTCTGGTCAAGATGCTATTGCCTCTCCTCCCTCCTTCTCTCACATCAGTTAGTCCTCCACTCTTATCATTAGCTTGGTTTTTGTAGCCAAGTAATACAGCAACCTATTGGCAGTGGCCCTTCTTCCCGAAGAAGCATCTGGGGAAATTGGCAGTGCATTAAACTCATTAGTAATATAGAAAAAAACACAAAACAAACATGCACAGCATACCATAGTATAGACCAAGAGTAGGCAGTCCGTTTTCTGTTGAGGACTGCATTTTATTGTGGGTAATCCACTGAGGCTATACGCTTGCAGTGGGCCGGGGTGTAATGGCAGCAGTGAGCAGAAGTGCAGCCAAAAAGAGGAAGAAACATTCCCCTTCTCTTTTCTTCCGCAACAGCAGCCTGCTGGGGAAAGAACAGATCACTCATGGCAAGGGTTTGAACATGAAGAGAACTTTTGAAATCAGGTTGACAACCGTAAGAAATTCAGGCAAGGATTGCAGGTTGCTCATTACTACACTCAATATTTTGGAACGCATTTGGGCCAGGCTGGACCAACACATCGCAGAACATGCATGAGTACCAATTGGAGCTGCAGCTTCACGTCTCCTTCTTTCTTCCTCCCGTAAGAGTTGCCGATACAAAATGTTCACTGTGACAACATCACACTGCTGCTCCTTGCAAGGGCTGGGCTGTCATACAGCAAACATACTCAATTAGATATTTTGTCCTAGTAACTAGATGGGAGTTGCCGCTATCGGTGCTATCTAAAACCTAGCTTTAGTCTGTGTTGATTCAGGCTCTGCTGGATGTTGCTCATGATAGACCTGATAAATGATTTTATTTCTTCCTTCCTTTTTCATTCCCCACCAGTCTATTTTGCACCCTTTTCCCATGTGTTCTCTCTCCTGAACTTTTGAGGCAATTGGAGGAGGCAAAAAGCATAAGCACCGGCACTTTTCACTGGCCACGTAGGATTTACAATTAAGACAAAGCAGCAAAGGGTAGCATTTTTCTCCATCCCACCCCCACCCCCACTTGGTCTACGGAGCAAGCATTGCTGCCACTTCAAGCAATGAAGGCCCATTTTCCAGCCCTGTCTAATTTCAAAGGGTTGTTAAGCACAAGGAAACATATACAATTCAGTAGCATAATGTATGTTCTTTATGAATGGTTAGGCTGCCACCATATGCTACCACATCACATTTTCCCTTTTGGTGAACAAGGTTTACCAAATAAAGTGGGTAGGTCAACACATATGCCCTATGGTTTAAGGCAGATTTTGGAAAGCCAAACCCATCTTCTTTAACTGAAGTTGCACTCTTGTCAAACAAATTTCTCACAGGGAGGAACCAGAGAAGAATTGATGGAAAAGAGCATTTAGGCTTTGAAACTATTTATCAGATATAAATAGAAGAATCCTATGTAAAACATAGGCGATCTTATACATAATGTCCATTTTAAATGTATTAACATATTAAAATTAATACTTAAGTTATTAACTTTTCCCCACAAGCTTTAAACATACCCATCTATCTATATTCTGTGAGTTCTCATTGATCAAAATGTTTAACTTGATCATTTGGGATATGGTTCTGGGAATATGTGTTATCAGGTAGGCAATAAACCTGGGAAATCTCAAAATTGCTAGTTGGCCTGTACACAGTGAGCTATATTACCTCCAGTCCTACTTTTGCATTCCAGTCATTCCAATGTGATTATTAACATGTCATGGTTTGCTGAGTTATCAATTTCCTCTTGAATACTCTGCCTAAAAGCTTTCAGTTTATTCTTCTTCAACATCTGTTGTTGGAGCATAGACTTGAATGATTGTTTTTTTGATAGGTTTTCTGAGGCTTCTGATTGATATGATTCGGTCAGACTTTGCATTATAGGTCCTTACTGCCTGCGCTGCATCTTGCTTCAGTATTAGAGCCACTCTGTTTCTTCTGAGTTTTTAATTTCCATTGTAAAACATTTGGTGTATGTCTGATGTCCCATTCCAGTCTACTTTAGTTCACTTTAGTTATTTGTTAGTTTAGTTTAGTCACTTCGTTATTTGTTTTTTGGCGCCAGGCGAAAAACTTTTTATTTAAGCAGCATTTTAAATGTTAATACTATTGAATTTTATCTGGCCAGGGCGGCTTATTTTATATTGTGTGTGTATATATACATATACATATACATACACATATATATATATTTAAATTATTATTATTCTAATGTGTATATTTTAATTTATGTGGTTTTAATTTATTGTTGTAAGCCGCCCCGAGGCTTCGGCAAATGGGGCGGCATAAAAATGTTTTAATAAATAAAAATAAAATAAAAGTATTGTGATGCATAATTTCTCAATTTCTTGCTTTATGGTTTCTAGCTTGCCCTGATTCATACTTCTCAAGTTCCAAGTTCCTACTGTATGTCTTGTACAGCATTGGACTTTCCTTTTGCCTCTGTGCATGTCAGCCATTAGCCTTCCTTTTGGCTTTGATCTTGTTGTTCTGTTAATGGCAGCACTATTCATATTGTCCTTTGTTCTTCCTCAGTAGCTGGCTGAATGCCTTCTGACCTGGAAGTCTCATCTTCTGGCACTACCTCTTGTTTCATTTTGGGCTGTTTCATCAGAGGGTTTTCAAGGTAAGAAAATCCAGAAGCTTGCCATTTCCTTCTTCTGCTCAGTACTTACCAGGATTAGCTTGAGCATCACTGACCTTGTCTGTGAAAGATGCTCCACTAGCATTACCTTCAGTTACCATCGTTGCCCAGTAGCTGCCCTTCAGTAGGTTCTCCATGTTGCAACTCTGACCATTTCTCCTTGGGTGATCCTGCTAGGATACCAGCCTAGTGAGTTCATTTGGCCTCTTGGTGACATTGCTCTTGTCTTCTCTGACACTTTCAACCCCTCTCATGACAGTAAGGTGCGCATCTAAGAGAGGGAGCAAACAACACACAGGCATAATATTCTAAAGTAAATGCAAATTAATTGTTAAGATTGTAGCAGTTTTTATTAGCAAAATCACAAATTACATGTTGCTCCAGGCCGGGTTCTTTATGCTTAATTTTGCTCTGAATTTGGCAAGATACATTATTGAAGCAATGCTGACATTCACAAAACTTGGTACCAGCATGCCTGTCATTTGTGCACTGAACATTTCTGCCACAGATTTCCCATTCATATGCATGTGTGAGAATAATAAACAATCATGATTGAGATAGGTGTCTATTTATTCCCTTGCTGTTAAGCTCACTCTGTCACTGAGCATAGACCTATCTACAAGAATATAAATGCACAATACTATGCAACTTTAGGCGGAAGAATGACTTCACCCCCAGTGTGCCCCACAATCAATTTTATTGTGCATTAAGTCTCCAGATACTGGGACAACTTCACGTATCAACACATATTTTAAGTGGAGTTGCACTATGGGATTGGAAGGTTTCCTTGTTTCATAGTCCAGGTCTTAAAGACTGGAACACTGACTCATGTTCTCACAAAAGTACTTTGCTGGTTGATGTGTGGTTTTTCCATTTAACATCCAGTGTTGAAGACCTGATCAAGACCTTCCAGATTATAATTATTTAATGTTAATAAAATTAATGTAAATTAAATGCATTAAATTGCCATAAGATGTGGCAATGGGAAGAAGATCAGAAGATCAATTATATTTTGAGGCAAATAAATGCTCTTTAAAATGAATTAGCAGATAATGTCACAAGAGATCTGGATTTGAATACAGTTTTGGATACAAGAAAGACAGGAAAAGAGTGCACTGCATATGAGCAGCTTCATATAAAAACGTGCACAAAATATAAAGAGTATGAATTTAATACTCTTGAATAGTTATATAATTGAATAGTTTACAAAGAAGAGGGTGAAAGTTGTTGTGAAAAGCCTAGAACATGTGATACTTTAAAAACTGAGTAAGATTTATTAGTTTTGGAAGAGACACTTTGGAAAAGGGAATAAAGCAGATAAGGTTTTTGCAGTAGTTTCTGAAAAAAGAGAAAAACAAAAGTATTCCTTGAACCCATGTTACAACTTATACATAAAGAAAAAAATGGACAGAACTCACTTTTCTTTATGAGGACTTCTGTGCCTGTATAAATTTAGGCCAAGGGAACATAAATTATTTCCTAAACAGTTTTAAAAATCCTGTCAGTGGAAGATAAACAGATGTTGGACAGATGTTGAATATATTCAGGATCCAAAAATCACATCCATTATAAAACAATTATATTCTGTACAAGTCTACTGAGATGTAAACCTCATCCAATTGAATAAAGTACATAGATATAGGATTGCAGCCTAAAACAAAATAAAAATTCTACCCTGGATGGGTTAATTTAAAGATGAGCACTTATTGGTTGCAATCAATTTGGAGTCAAAAAAGAAAGAAAAAACAATCAGAAATAATGCCATGCCCTTCTGTTTAATTTGCGACTACAGTCACAAATGAGACAAGACACATGACCCTTTGAATGAATACTTCTTCCACAAACTGGGCACTATTCATTTCTGTTTGCCACTTGATAATGTTATTAACAGAGTGGGTACTCTGTTGTTGCATATGGAGAAAAAAAATACTTGCCTCATTCATAAAAAGTGAAGCACTGGGGAAAGTATTGAGAGCTTGATCAGAGGAATACCTATAATAATATGTCCCGAAGATAATCTTATCCTTTGATTTTATACAACAAATCATTTTATTATCATATTCTATCCTGGTTGTATTATCCTCCATGGAAAGTGTATGTTTCTGAAAGCTAACAAGAGCCAAATGGTAGAAAGGCTGTGATGCTAAAGGAACCTACAAATATATGTAATGGGGATGTATACAAATGTAGAATAATCAGACGGTGGATGATGAACACAGGACCATGAAGTTACAGCAAAAATTATAAAACTGCTAAGCAGAGAGATGCCAGAATTGGTAAAACATGTTTATTTTACGTAAAACACTGGTTTTTTTTTTTTTTTTTTTTTTTTGAATGGATGCTAGAAAATCTTATGGTTCTCAAAACACTGTGGACATTTGAGTGACT